TTCGTAATATCTGCCTATGAGAACAGACTGGTAAATATTTGAACTTCATGTGCGTATTATTTATTTGTTTTTTTAGTTAACAACTCAGACAATACTTCATGGTATTTATTTGCAATTTATTTTTAGTTTCATATATTCATCAAGTCAGAAATGATTTTCTTTTCTTTTAATTTTAATTTTATTTTGCTTTTTTTCTGTTTTTGTGTTGTTTGAGTTGATTTACCAACTACAAACACAGAAAACAGACCATCAGTAATTTGTTTGTGGCGTGCGAGAACAGCGCACGTATCGAGCGCCGGCAAGACGCTTTGGGCGATTTAACTAGCGCAAATTTAATTAACACCCAAACGAGCCGGGAACGCTGCGCGCACCAAAGTTGCAAACTTTCCTGCCATCATCGATGATGCACATCGATAAACTCAAAACGCAGATTGTCTAGAGTTTAATCCACGGTGCGCTTGAAAGCCAACGCGAGAGGAAATTCGACTGATTGTTATCAGCAAAATCAGCACTTACTAATTAACAGACATATAGAACTAATATTTAATATTTTACAAGCATATTTTAAAGTTTATTCGACAAAAACACAGCAAAAAAATTAAAAGAACAAAAATTGCGTAAATTTATGCAATAATTTTGTAGTTTTCACTGAATATCCAAAGACATAATTAAATAATTTACATCCCATTATACTCGTAAAAATGAACTCAAACTACAATTCAACCATGTGTTTAAGATACTCCAACATAAATTCACCACAGAAAATATTATATATTTTGTTTATTTATATTTATTTTTGGCTCGAATGCGTAAGTAATAATGCTGCATGCTGCATGCAATCGTGGTCGATAAAACGGACCATACCAGAACCGTATCTACCCTTTAAAAACACAAAAACATCAATTTTCCTTACAAAAACCCTAAACTTCCTTAATATATGCAACCAAATACACATATCACTATATACACTTATTGTTTTATGTAAATATCATAAATGCAACCCTGTAGATTGCAGCAAATGCGTACTTTAAACTTTCCAACTCTCGCTTATCGCTTACGATCCCTGCTGGTTGCCGCTTGCAGGATGCATCAAATTGCCGCATGATAACGCCAGCGAAAAAAACTCTTATTCACCTCCAGACGAGAATGACACGTATAAAGTGAAGTAAAGACGTAGGTAATCTCGAGAGTGCACAGAGGTGTGAAGATAAGAAATGGAAATATGAAAAATATCGTTAGGTATTAAATTTGCAAAGTGTCACACACGCCTTCGGATATATATTTTATGTGCGTTGGCGAGCGAAAATGTGAAACTCCCACTTTCCGAGGGCGAAAGGTTGTGCTTACGTTAACGAAAATCATTCTGACAGGCGGCGACCTTCGACTTTTAACTACTTGTATGTAAGTAAAGGGTGTTAAGGTCGCCGAGAGTCGCACATTAGCACTTCTTCAGTCTGATGCCTGCGCCCCGGGTTAATGAGTTGGAGTAGGCGAGGACTGTTGATTAATATTAATGTGAACGCCATCGACGCACGCCGGGAAGAGGACACGGGACCTTCCCAGCTTACTCACTTCCTACGTACCCTACCATCCCCCGAACACACAGAGTTGAAGGCTGACATGCGGAAATCGTGCGTGTTGTTTAATGTGTTTCCTTCCGATGGTTCTACATTCCTCTGTGTAAGTGGTGTGTGTGTGTGTGGGTGGAAGTGGAAAATTCGATGGGCACGAGATAGAATTTCCTAGTAGGCTGCGGCACTCGCGGGCGCGGAGAATGAAGATTGTGTGTTTCTACGCATCGATCGCGCGGTGGGCGCGAAACGAGCTGGTGAAAGGGGTTGGTTGGTGTATTCGTATGTCAGTGATATGTTTCATGTCGTGTGCAAGCGATGACAGCGAGACAAAGTGGCGAAGCAGGCTGCGAAAAGCGAAAATGATCATATTTTTCGTGCGCTGCGAGATAAAATGACATTGAAACTTGCTTAGGAGTTAGAAGTTTGGCACACTGAGATGTAATAATAGGACAAGGACGGTTTGTCACAATATGGGTTATCGAGGTGTGGGGACGGGCTATAAATCATGGCATCACGAATTTGGAGTGAAATTTAGAGTCTATAAAATTGTTTCAAACAATGATACTGGAGTTATTTCTGACACAAGCAGTAAACATATTTTTTCTAGGTAATAAAAAGGTATTTGGCGTCGGTTTAACTATTCTTGATATTTTTCTGTCATATTAATGTCGGGTAATTAATTGTACTGTAAATTTGATAGTAAAAATCCTAGGATTTTGATTAATTGCAAAATATATGCCGTTTTTAATGAATTATTCGAAAACTAATTAAGTTAAATCCATTATTTTTGGATATATCTCTTTGATATTAAATTCTGAACATAATTGTATTTAAATTTTATTGATTATATATTTTAATTAAAAGTTACAGACGAATTTTATTGAGTTTTTAGAAATTCAATTTTAATTGTTTATAACTTTGTTTAAAATAGCCGGAGGAATAAATTTTTAACATTAATAGAAGCACAATTAATTTACTTTACTTGTAAGAAAGAATCATAATTTAAACACGAATAGTTTTTGAATAATTAATTAATAAACAAAGAAAACGCATTGTTGATTGATTTTGATCAAAATCTCTTTCTAATAATTATTTATCACAATATCAATTTAGTAGTAAATTCTAAATCAAATCATAAAACGATTTTCAACATAGCTCAATCCAATAAAAAGTTACAGCGAAATTTGTGATAATTTTCATGTTTTTGATTGCAAATTTAACCTTAAAATGTGTATAACTCTCAATTCAAAAATCATTTCAGCACAATATTTACCCAGTCAGATATAAAATTCAACTAAAGTCAACTTTAGTACAAATTATAATTTTATCGTAAATAGTTAATAATTAATTAACCAATAACAAACTGTAGAATATTAAATTCTCCTAGTACGAGTATAATGCACTCCATTCATTACGCGCCGTTATAGACTTGTTATGGCTGCTTTGTGCGAAAACAGCATATCGAAATTAAACAATTTAATCACCCTGCAATAAAGACGCTTTAATGTGTGATTGTATGAACGTATGGTGTGACATCTGCGCAAATTACTCGTACATACGGGATGCGTGTACAGAGTGCAGTATTTCGAAATTTAATCACATTTTCCAACTTTTAACTCAACAAGAATAAAGTTTCCCCGATATAGAATCCTAGTGTAAAGTGGGGCACAAATGTCGTAACTCGTGTAAAACTTATCAGTTATCGCTTCGTGAAGAAATTACAGCCAGTGCAGACTGATTCAATTACAAATTACGATTGTAAGTACATTTTTGGCACTCGACGGTAAACAAAGAGTCTTCATGTCATTAGCTAATGAATCAGTTATTTTTTTAATCATTTTAGTAAAAAAAACAGTTTATTTTAATTTAAATATGTAGTTTTGCGACTAAATTCTTCGACTTCGTCCTCGGAGTAATTAATTTTTACTTTCTTTTTCAAGACCTAGTTTGTGCCGATTTCATCAATAAAATTCGCAATTTTCTTTAAGGAAAGAGAAATGCTAATAATGCCCTTTAGTGCCATTTCTGATTGAACTATTCAACTATAATCATGATTGAATCTCTATATTAATTTCCATGACCTATTTAACCGTTAAGTTATAATTTTTGATATTTTAATAGTTATTCTACTGTTCTGATCGTAGACAAATCCAAAAAATCATAGATAATCAAAATCTGTCCAACCGTTCTAGAGTTATAAACATTTAGATATTCTTTTCACTAATTTTCTTTCAACATATTCTCTATTTGAAAGAACCAGCGAGTTCATTCCTTGTTTTATGCGCCAATCAAAGAGATGAGCCTTATTAAGCGTTCGTCGCTTGTCAGAGTGCGTCGTAAAACAAACACGCGACATAAAACGCCGCTCTCGGCATGCCGGGGGCGGCGGAGATGGCCCTTTTGGGCAATGCTTCAGCGACTATTATTCACGCTCTGATTCGGCGCGGCTTGTTGCAAGTGCGGCGGCGCTCACACGCACGTACCGCGTCCCCGGGGCGCCCACGCAAGGATAACAATTTCCGTGAGTGGTGGTGGAGGCGCAAACGTCGAAACGTGCAAAAGCATCTGTATCCACTTTATTCTGCGGGGGAGGTTGTGCCACCACTCAAATTTCGCATTCATACGACTTTTAATAAATTAAGCCGCGAAAAAACAGCGAGCAGAAGGTCAAACAGGTAGAAATCTAGGTTGAAAATGAAAATTTTACTTTTTTATAAAGTGCTACGTTATTTATAACTCAACAACAATTTGTCTAAGTCAAGAATATCAAAATAACAAGTAAAACATCAGAAAAATCAAAGGGAAACCGAATAAAGAAAAAATATTCAACAAAAATCGTTTCATATTGATTTTATTCTTATTTAAAGAGGAAAATTGAATTGAATTTAGTTAAAAATTAATTTAAGACGTCATTTATTGATTAAAGATTACGAAGTTTGCGTGGACAGTAAGTTTCTTACATTTTTTGTTAAACGAAAAATCTGATGCTGATTTATCTACCTGCGATTTATAAAGCTCGAACGCGCAGAAAGCCGAAATAATGATTAATGTTTATCATGTTTGAAAGTCATGAATCACGTGCGATATTCAATCGAGATTTGCAAAAAAAAATAACAGAAATAAAAGTATGCGGGACGATTAACACCGAAAGATTCGAAAGCGTTTTATTTATAAACAAACCAAAATACAAGAACCTGGTAATAAAAAAAGCAGAAACAAACAAAACAACACAAAAACACTGTGTAAAAGTAAATCTAAAGATAAACAAATTCGTGATATGTACAAAACAAATATTTACAACTTAAAATATTAGTAAGTGTGTGTTTAAAATTAAAATTCACAAAAAGCGAATTATCACAATGAACAACGTGAATAAATTATATTTATTACTGCTGATTAGTTTATCAGTGTTGTTGGGCGAATTACCTTTATCCCTGAAGAGCTGCTTGTACTTGCCGAGCTGATTGGCGTCCAACCACGCGTTGACCTCCCCACGATCGCCGCCACCGCCACTGTCGGCCTGTTTGCTCGGAAACGCCCAAAGATTCTGGCAGATTTTGAGCGCGAAGACCGCGACCAGAAAATAGAGTGCGACCCAGAGGGTCGCTTTGGCACTGGGCGTCATCGACGTGGATGCGTTGTGGCGTTTGCTCGCCTCACATGATGAAGAGACCGGCGGACCGACGGGAGGCGCGAACTGAACACCCGGGAGCAGCCAGCTGCCGCGGAGCGTCGCGACGCATCTTTGACATATCAAAACACAAACCACACATATACAAATGTACACATCGAATCAATCGCAAATGTGTGGGACGACTGTCAAATGGGGTTTTGGGTTATTTGCCGCCATCTTGTAGAGAAATAGAAAGAAATACGAAATATTTAATATACAACATAATAAATATAGTTAAAAATTAGTTTAGATTATTAATATTAATACGTACTAATATAGTTATTGATATTTTTGAGTAATTTGTTGTTAAAATTTACTGAAATCTGTAATTGTAACAAATATAGTTTGTAGTGTGCATTATTAGGATCAACACTTAGGTTTTATTTCAATAATTCACCAGAAGATGTCGCTGCACGTTTATTCTTTATACTGACTTTTCTTTAAAAAAATATCACGCATGCTCAATGTGTACAAAACATTTGAATACAAACAAAGCGACGCGTCCAAAAATAAATCCACTTCGAGAAATTTTTCCAATAAATTGAATTTCCTCCAAAATGGAACGAAAAGATGCGTTGATACACAGCGAAAAGGAACAAGAATATTCCTACGCTGGTTACGCTATAATGGAAGATTTGCTGGAGAAATTGAAAGCTCTAAACTTTGATAAAGAATTCACCAACGGGCTGAAGATGAAACCGATTCACAGGTACAGCTCCCAGACACTAAATATTCTGTTTTTAACTGTAGAAATCATTGTAGATATTATTTTATGGTACAAAAAAATCCCGGAGAGCAATTTTATCTTTTTTGTTCGATTGCCGCCTGGCTTATTCGCAAAACCGGCGGAATTTTCGAACAACCCCAAGAATACGACGATCCAAACACAACAATCTCAAATATTCTGGAAGTAGTACGTGCTAACGGTGTTGTTATCGACTTTCCTCCTAATAAATTAAAACAAGGATATGGTGAAAACATCGTATTTGTTTTAAATCACCTTGCTGATTCCGCTTTGGAACATGTTAACTTCCACTGGAAGAAACCCAAACCTCCAGTAGAAGTCGAAGAAGAAGCTGAGATGATTGAAGACGAATCTGAGTTGATTCTCGACCGCGTAGAGGAGGAAATGATGGCTTATTATTCCGATGATGAAGAGGACGATCTCGGTTTTAACATTGATAATCTCTCCGCAAGGAACAAAACCACAGCGGAAGTTTTCGAAATCAACGCGAATGTTGATGAAGAAGCCTGGAAGTTGGAATTGGAGCGGGTTTTACCACAGTTGAAGGTGACTATCAGTAATAATAGTCGTGATTGGAGGGCACATCTGGAACAGATGAAGTTGTATCGTGGTACGATTGATAATACACTTTCGGGGACGAAGAGTTCGCTGGAGAAGATTCATAAGAATATTTCCAATACATTGGAGAAGGTGAATAATAGAGAGAAGTATTTGAATCGGGAGTTGGAGCCGACGTTGGAGACGTTTAGGACGCAGCAGGATCAGTTGTCGAAGGTTAAGGAGAATTATGCGGCGATTAGTGGAGGTGTTACTGAGCGCACCAGGGAACTGGAGCAGTTGAGCGTGCGCTTGGAGTCGCTGAAGCATGAGATGGAGGAGAGAGGAAGTTCTATGACTGATGGAAGTGAGTTTCTGGTTTTACAGACGTAGGGTAAACAGTGGGGAAGGTTACGACTGATAAGATGCACGTTTTTATCAAGTCAAATCGGTTTATTGGATATGTAAAAGGAAAAATACTTTACGGAGTGATGCATTGGTATTGGTAGAATAAATTACATAACCACAATACTAGATTAATGTGTCAGGATAGAGTAGAAGACATTTTAAAAGCTAACACATCATTTTTTCTGACTTTCTATGAACATTTAGATGTGAATTAAGAAAAACAAATTGAAAAGTTTGTTGTTTCGCATGATTTTTATCAAATGTAATTTTATAACTTGTTTTTAATTAAACTATTTGTTATTTTCAGCTCCACTGGTGAAAATTAAGAAAGCCATCACGCAAATCAAGAGTGAAATCTCCCAAATGGACATCCGTATTGGTGTTTTACAATGTTTACTCTTGCAATCAAAAATCCAAGAGCGCAAACTCTTAGAAGACGACTTGGGGCAAAGTATTCAAGCGTTTTAATTCTGCTTCAATTCAGTAAGTCTTGCAACTTGCTAAAGCCGTGTGCGGAATGCAGTTGTTGATTGTTTCTAAATAAACATATTGAATTTCTTCAGCTTTAATAAAACACTATCACATTATAATGTATAATATACTTCGATAAGTTGATAAAACTACACCTAAACACTGGAAATACTCTAAATAAACTATTAATATGTCTGGTTTAATTCATTAGAATGAATTAAATTAGTTGAGATGTTAAACAAAGTGGAGCGAAACAAAGAAAATCTATTGCGTCGTTTACTAACAAAGCGCCCACGCCTTGTGAGTTAGGCAACTAAATATACTTCTAAGGCTAAAATAACTGCAGTGAGCAGATGAAAACAAACCTTGACTGCATCTGAACTTGCGATGAGTGAAAACAAAATGAAAACGTTTCGCGACGCACGAGGAGTCGCCTGTTGTGCGTAAACAAACGGCAAAAGCGATACGCGCGATGATGTAATTTACGTTCAATGTTTAATCGCACGAGTATCGCGTAATTTAGTGTTTTAATTCGTGTTTTATTGCCGTTTTAAAATGCGTTTAGCAAAGCGCCACCCATGTTTTGTGTGGTTTTCAAATGGGCGGCATGATCCATGCGCTGGATGGTGTAATATGATATTAATGATATGATAAAGAATTAATCAGTCTTAAGTTATTGTAAACGAAACTTGTTTAGCTTAGAACTTCAATTTTATGTGTTTTAATTAATGATGTTGGTTTATTTAAGAAGTGAAATTAATTAATGGTATTATTTGCTTGTGGAATTAATTATTGTTTGTATAACGTGAAAGAAGTTGTTATAATTGGTATAAAATCGAAACTAGCGCGTCGAAAACAACGCAATACCGGCGGGTTGTTTGTGTTTTGCATGAAATTGAGTGCAAATTGGAATCGTCGTCGATTCGTACAATTGAAATGTTTAATATTGAGACTGAAGACGGTATTCCAAAGAGGGTTGAACGACAAGATGGTGTAGAATGTGAATATTGAGTGGTTTGTGTTATTCGAAGGTGGATAATATGACTGATTGTTGGGCAAGAGGTAAAAATCGGTGTGAAGCGCGACGATTCGGGTGCGACGTGGCTGCCGGTTGCGGCGAATCAGGCGCGCGCTTTGCGTACAGTTGCCTGATGATCCACGGCTGGCGCTGACGGCGCCGTCGTGCGACTCCGGCGGCGATCGGGCGCTTGTAGTGACGTGAACTGTGACGACGGACGCTGCGTCACCTCGCGCTGGCTCGCATCTTCCGGAATGGTAGCGCCGAGTGAGCGTGCGCATTCGGGTCACATGGCCGGCGGCGACCAATAGTGCCGCGCTCGCGACTTAATAGACAGAGCGCCTCTGACAAGCGTAGAAAAAGTTCCATCAACAGCCGCCATTTTGCCTGTACGCGCTCGCGTTGGATATTCGGCGAGATTGGCTGTGCAATCCGGTCGCGAAGGGCCTCTTCAGCGGGTGCGTGCGTTCGGGCGCGGCTACTTTGCGCGCGGATGCCCCGATCGGCGTGAGGATCGCGGCCCGTCGCCATCCTGGCGTTTCCTCGAGTCCCCGAGCCCGCCGACCATTGTGCCATTGTGTGTGCGCGAGTGTTAGTTCGGGTAGCGATGTCGAGAGGGAAGCGTAGTCTGCACGTCGGACTGGTCTGCCCGCACGCATTAATTATGGCCGACGGGTGAGCATCGCCGCCGCGCGAATAATGTGCCTTGTGAGATGCCCAGGCACTCGAACACTAGGACATTCGGAAAACGCCGCCACCCGAGGCCGACGCGCCGTGCGTCCCGCTCGTGAATCATGTGTTTCGACGCGTCGCCGCGCCGCGTTCTTGGATCGCCGTCGCCGTCGTAATCGCCGCAGCCGCAGCCAGTGCGGAGCGTATTGACGACCGCTTTCATACATACAGACGGAGCCCGCCGAGGGCCGAGGGCGCCAACCGAACAATAAGCGTGAGTGCGCGCGTGCATCCTGCGGCCGCCGCCGCCTCTTCGACCGCCGCTATGGCCGATCATCTCGTCGACGGCCCGCCAAGCGCCAAGCGGCAGAAGCTGGACCCCTTTCAGGGCCCGTCGGACTCTTCAGGTGAGTGCAGCGCTCCAAGACACGCCGCGCGCCGCATTGTTTATAACACCTGTTTTGTCGCGCGATGCCGACGCCGCGTTGGGATGTTTCCAAACAAATCCCCCGCCGGCATCAACAATTCACTACTATTCCATTCGTTCTGTAAATATGTGCAGCCGCATGCGTGTTTTTATTCTGCAACCGAGTGCGATCCTCTTGGACCGCATCTAGTTTCGTAGTGTGCTAGCCTCTTAGTTGTGCATGCGATTGACGAATTCATTGTGATGACCTTGCTGCTTGTGGCAAGTGCACCACGACTTGCCGGTGGCATCCATACACACTCGAATTGCGCCCGACACCCCACACACGACTGAATTAGTTTTTGATTTTAATTGATTTGATTTCTTATTAACATTTATATCATTAGTGATGCAACAAGCTTACAACAACTATGCGCTGGGGCCCGGACACGGCCAGGTCCTCGTACAAACACTTGGTGGTGGCCAATCGAATCCAACTCAGCAATGGGGAGCACCCCCATACCAGCTCCAAAGTAAATAGCAACAACCCTCTATACAAACTTCTTCTTACCTACTTATGTTTTGTTTTTATTTTCATTTTGTTTTAACCAACTCGGGGCATTCACTCAGGGCAAACTCATTCAAGTTATCGCAGAAAACCATAACCAAATTGTGCTAAATTACGGATTATTTATTTTCAATTAAAAAACATTGCAAACACATACTTCTTGTAGAGGATAATATTCTAAAAATGATTGCTATATGTGATGCACGACGGTCTGTTGTAAAATTCAGTTTTGTTTGCACTTCTGACCGTAGTGTTTCACTGGTGGCAAAGTTTAGTTTTTGCATGAAATTCGAATGTCAACTAAATTATAATTAATCTTAAAATTGTTCAGTTTTTCACTTTTGTTTGTAGGAATCGCTTCTCTATTGTGGTGTGGTTTCTAACCAAATATTTGTAAAATAGTAGATGTTTTTGACATCAAATGACATTTATTTAAGTCAACATTACCTAGGTTACAATTTGTGCGTGTAATTTGATCATTTGGTGTGATTTGCAATACATATTGTACATTTTGGATCTGCTTGTATTCCGTTTCTGTAATGAGTGAATGTTTATTGTCGCGTTTGTGTTTTTGTTTTTCTTGATGTATTTTAAATGTGATGTTGAGAGTTTATTTATGAATGTTTGTAGATGTCATCAACATGTTTGACCTGGAGAAGGACCTGCCCGACGAGCTCATGTCCGGCGGCAGCTGGGGCATGCCGGACAATATGGGCAACAGTAAACCGCCGGCGCAGGGCCCGGGTCCCGGTCAGATGCAGAATGGCATCGATACCGACGCGCCCAACTCACTTCGGCAAATGCAACAAATACACAGTCATATGCTACAGGTAAGATCTTGTTTTCTTGTATTCTTTTCTCAAAATGTGCAAAAATTCAGGTTTGGTTGACTTGCACTAACGTCTTCCAATTAATATTTTTGCTAGATAATTGAAAACTGCTTTTATATTGCGAATTTGTTACAAATACAGGTTTGTGTGTTAAAAGCAGTCAACATTTTTGTTAGGTTTTGTGTTGGGGAATAAATGGTATAAAATTGTGGATGAAGTTTAATTTTTGTTGTTGTTGTAGGGAAATAAAGGAATTGTTGGTAACGCGTTGGGCATGGGCGGACAGTTAGGGAGCAAAAGTCCCAATCTTCAGTCGCCCCCCAATGTAGCAAAGGCTACCGCCGAGCAAATTGCGATGGCCAGTATGCCTAATAATGTCGGCCTCCAGAGCATGGCTAACAATGGTAGTTCGCCGCAAGTTATGAGCTCTATTCAAGGTAAGTCAAGTCTTAAACAAACAAAAAAAAAACTAGCTGCAAAGTTTCAGGTTCAGTTGAGCACATTTCAGTTCTTCTGATTAATAACTTTGCTAGATAAACTTACAAATATTACTATTCTTAATATGAATATAATTCATGTTAGGGTGTGTAAAATTTGTTACAAAACATAAATTTTATAGTTTTTATTCTTATTGGATAGAATATACATTCTAAGGTTTTTTTTTCTCTCTTCAGGAATGAATAACAGTGGTGGTAACATGGTAATGACGAACAGTAATATGAACACCATGCCAGGGATGACCGGAGGTGGTATTGTCGTGAGCAGCGGTAATAAACCACTAGGCGCCGCCAATAACATGATGGGCGCACAGGGACATCATCCGGGGCCCGGCAACCACCAGGTACCGCAGGGTATGCAGAATGGGCCGATGATGAACGCCCGTCTTGGCATGCCGACGATGAACCAGCGCGTGCCTGGACCGCAGGGTGTGCACGGTATGGGACCCCGCATGCACATGCCCATGGGCGGCGGGCCCGTCAACCAAAACATGCCCGGCGGTGGTCCGTACTATCAAAATCCCAACGGCGGTGTTGGCGGACCACAGGTTCAAGTCGGTAAGTTGAAAATTTCACGAATGAAAATCTCGAAGTATTAATGGAAATATGAACTTTTTTTTGTAGTTGCACCTCAAAGAGCTGGAGGAGCCGGTATCCAACAACAACGATTTGTTGGACCTAGTGGACCGGTAGGTCCTCCAGGTGGTGGAGGAGCGGGAGGCGAAGGTGGTATGGCGCAAACGCAACCACCAGCGCCCTCGCCTGCTCAGCCACAGTCTGGTGCGCCGAGTGGGACACAACCAGGACCGCAAACCGCCACGCAGAACCAAGTTGGTGGAACACCTGCACCCACGACTGGTAGGTTTTGATTACTATTATGATACTTCTTACTACAGCAGTTGCGATGCACGTTGATGTTGATTACATGTTTAGCTCTGTCCGTAGACCCCGAGAAGCGCAAGCTCATCCAGCAGCAGCTGGTGCTGCTGCTTCACGCGCATAAGTGCCAGCGGCGGGAGTCGCAAGGCAACGGTGAGGTGTACTGTTCGCTGCCGCACTGCAAAACAATGAAGAACGTGCTCAATCATATGACGACGTGCCAGGCGGGAAAGAGCTGCACGGTACCGCACTGCAGCTCGTCGCGTCAGATCATCAGCCATTGGAAGCATTGCGTGCGCAGCGACTGCCCGGTTTGTTTGCCGTTGAAGCAAGCGGACAAGAACAGAAATAATCCAAATAGTAAGTGTTAACTTTGCACTTGCTCTTTAATTTGCATGTCTAATCTTGTGTTTATTCTGAATTAATAGCAACTACAACAACACCACAAAGTACGCAAAGTCCGAACCCATCACCGTCGGATATGCGAAGAGCATATGATGCCCTAGGCATTCAGTGTCCCACGACGGGGGCGGGCCCAACGCCGCCAGCAGGGTTGATTGTAGCACAACAGCAGCAACGCCCTGGACTGCGGATGGTAGGTGCAAATATGCAAAATATTGCGCCTGGTGGTGCCGCAGGCATGGGCGGCGTGAGAGTTTTAGCACCTCCGCAAAACCAAGTCGCACCCAATGTTAGTTTACCTCTTGGGAGTGACCCCACACCAGCGGCGCTTCTGCAGCAACAGAATGCCGCCGCGCAGACAGCCGCCAACCTTCATAATATGCAACAGAGTGCGCAACTCTTCGAACAGAACAATGCTGCCGGTTTGGTAAGTTCTTATTTTAATTGTGCATGCTTTGCAAATATTCAGGGCTGATTACCATCGTCTTGTGGTATTTAGTTTAATCAATTTTTGCAAGATAAACTTAGAAGTCATTTTTATGAGCTGTTTAGTTAGTTAATAATTGAGCAGGTTTCAAAGATGGCAGACAAATGATTTTAAAGTATTTTATGTGTTTTCGTGGTTTGTGATTTTTGATTTTCTATAATAGATGAATCCTGATAATCGGGTGCAACTACCCGGTGGTCTGCAGCCGGGACAAGTGACTGCAACGCCTGTGCAAGGTACGAAAGAATGGCATCAGCATGTGACGCCCGATCTCCGCAACCATCTGGTACACAAACTCGTGCAGGCAATTTTCCCCACACCCGATCCGCAGGCAATGCTTGACAAGCGTATGCACAACCTTGTAGCGTATGCGCGTAAAGTTGAGGGCGATATGTACGAGATGGCAAACTCGCGCTCTGAGTACTACCACCTGCTTGCTGAAAAGATCTATAAGATCCAGAAGGAGTTGGAAGAAAAACGCCAGAAGCGAAAAGAGCAGCAACAACAACTGCAGAAGGCGAATCAACCGCAGATCCTACCGACGTTACCTCCCGGCCAACAACCGGTGCCCGGCGGCGTGCGGCCTGGAGTTCCCGGAGTACCGGGAGCAATGCCGCCTACACCATCACCTTCGCTGCCCAACAACTCCCCCGCAATGGGTGGCATGGGCAATGTGATAAACCCGCAACAACAGCCCCAACAGCAGCAAGCTAACATTCGCATGTTATTCTCCGGTCAGAATACGCCAACGGGTCAGCCACTTGTGGTGGGTTTGCCTGGACCATCACCAACGGCGTCGAACAATCCGGGGCTGTCGCCGTTTAGCCAACCTATGTCGCAAAAGCCACAGCAACAACCGCAACAGGCTAATGTCGGCACGCCCACCTCGCAACAGCAGCAATCGCAACAACAGACGCCGTTTACCAGCACGTCGAATGGCCCTACATCATTACCACAGACTTCGCCCGTCGGCGTCGTTAGTTCCGGCCCCGCCACCACTACACAGTCGCAGTCACAGCAACAGCAGTACAACGATGTGGCGAAGAACAATCGCCTCGCGCCTTCCCCGTCGACATTCAACCTACAGCCCAATAGTGGCATGCCGGGCAGTCAACCGAACAACGCACGCATGCCGACTCCCTCCGAGCCACATACGACCACGCCGCATACGGCCGGCCCGAAATCGGTGAGTTCGTCGCGAGGCGCCAGTCCAGCGCCGCCGACGCCCATTGTTTCCTCCTCACCGGCACCGACAGCTGCCAGTTTGGGTAAGGGCATGTCCTCAAGCGAAAGACAAGCTCAATCGCAACCGTCGCGAAGCAGCATGTCATCGATCATGTCAGCGATCACCGCCGCTGCTGAAAGAGAAGATGATTCGCCGCCAGCGTCCAACGGGGGCGCTGGAGGTGGTAAGCTGGATCAGATTAAGCAGGAGGACAACAGCATGGATAACATCAAACAAGAGGATATGAGTGACACCTCCAACGGACACATCGAAGGTGGCAAGGGTTTTAAGACTGAGATAAAGCGACAGATCAAGACGGAGCCGATGGACGAGAGCGATCATCCGATCAAGCAGGAGGACGATATCAAGAAGGAGGTTATGTCGACGGACATCAAGCACGAAATGGACATGATGTCGATAAAGAAGGACGGCAAAAAATGCAGTAAGTTTCTTTGCTCGCGCGTTAATGACATTGCATTTCATAAAAATGATTTTACTCTTTCAGTTTTCAAATCCGACGAGTTAAGGCAGAAGTTGATGCCGACTCTAGAAAAGCTCTACAGACAAGACCCGGAGAGTATACCATTCCGGCAGCCGGTCGATCCGCTGTCGTTAGGTATACCGGACTATTTTGAGATTGTAAGACAACCCATGGATTTGTCAACAATCAAGAGAAAGCTCGACGTTGGTCAGTACACTGATCCCTGGGAGTATGTGGATGATGTGTGGCTGATGTTTGACAACGCGTGGTTGTACAATAGAAAAACAAGCAAAGTGTTTCGATATTGTACAAAGGTAACACTCAAACTTAGAAAACTTTATAATTATGAATCTTAATCATGCAATGCTTAACATTTTCAGCTATCTGAGGTATTTGAAAAAGAAATCGATCCGGTGATGCAAAGCATGGGTTATTGCTGCGGACGAAAGTACACTTTCAATCCGCAAGTACTTTGCTGTTATGGTAAACAATTGTGTACCATTCCCAGGGATGCTAAGTACTACAGCTACCAAAATAGGTCAGTATTTCATTTGACTTTGTGCCCTGCTTTAAACCATTAAGTGCTTGGTGCAATAAAAGCATTCAGGGGCAAGGATTCAGGGCCATTAACTTTCTGATAAGTCATTGGTTTAATTCATCTTTGCCATATTATACTAAAAATATATCAATGTCAATAACCTACTTGGTTCTTGAACGATTGGGTGGATCTTGATATTGATATACAAACATACTGAGTGTTTCGGTTGCATTTAAATTGATTGTGTCCTGTGGAACATGACTGATTCATAACTTCTTTGTTTTTGGTCCACTCCTCCATGAACATGTGCACACAACTCACAATGCCATTCCCTGTTCATGTCTTTACGCTGTGTGGGTGTTGCTTGTTCATCTAACTTGCACGTATTGCGACTTACCGCCGACTTCCAACGCTTTGATAATACGCTCGGAATTTTGCGTTTCGATTGAGAGCAGTCTTAAAGCTTATGGTCTTGGATCCAACAGATACACGTTCTGCCAAAAGTGTTTCAACGACATTCAGGGCGACACCGTCACGCTGGGCGATGATCCGACTCAAGCACAAACGTAAGTTTTACATTTTTCATTGTAATTCTTGAATTCACTTAATTTGTGTGATGTTTTCTTATGTAGCGTGATAAAGAAAGATCAATTCAAAGAGATGAAGAACGACCATTTGGAACTGGAACAATTTGTGATATGCGAGTGCGGGCGCAAACTACATCAGATCTGCGTGTTGCACCACGAGAACATTTGGCCGTCGGGTTTCACTTGCGAGGAATGCCACAAAAAGAAGGCGAGTAAGCGCAAGGAGAACAAGTTCAATGCCAAACGCCTTCCAGCGACTAAACTCGGCGTGTATATCGAACATCGCGTTAACAATTTCCTCAAGAAGAAAGAGGCCGGTGCTGGTGAGGTGCATATCCGTGTTGTCTCCAGTTCTGAAAAGACGGTGGATGTTAAACCGGGCATGCGCAGTAAATTTGTGGATACCGGCGAGATGAACTCCGAGTTTCCGTACCGCGCTAAGGCGCTTTTTGCTTTCGAGGAGATTGACGGCACGGATGTGTGCTTCTTTGGCATGCACGTGCAAGAATACGGCTCGGAGTGTCCTGGTCCGAATACGCGGCGCGTTTACATCGCCTACCTGGATTCTGTACATTTCTTTAAGCCACGTCAATTCCGTACCGCGGTGTACCATGAAATTCTCCTCGGATATATGGACTATGTGAAGAAACTGGGATATACGATGGCTCATATTTGGGCTTGCCCGCCTTCCGAAGGGGACGATTATATCTTCCACTGCCATCCATTGGAACAGAAAATTCCCAAGCCGAAGAGATTACAAGATTGGTATAAAAAGATGCTTGATAAGGGAATAATCGAGCGCATCGTCTTCGACTACAAGGACATTCTCAAACAAGCAATGGAAGACAATCTGCGTTCTGCTGCTGAAATGCCGTACTTTGAGGGAGATTTTTGGCCCAACGTGCTTGAGGAGAGCATCAAGGAGTTGGATCAGGAAGAGGAAGAAAAGCGGAAGCAGGCAGAGGCTGCAGAAGCCGCCGCTATTTTCTCCCTTGGTGCTGATTCTGATATTGGTGCTGATGGTAAGAAAAAGGGTCAGAAGAAAGCGAAAAAGAGCAACAAATCGAAGGCCAATCAACGGAAGAATAGCAAAAAGAGTAACACTCCCCAAACCGGCAATGATCTTTCGGCGAAGATTTTTGCAACGATGGAAAAGCACAAGGACGTATTCTTTGTAATACGATTGCATTCGGTGCAGTCGGCGGCAAGTCTTGGTCCCATTCAGGATCCAGATCCGTTCATAAACTGCGATCTCATGGATGGCCGTGATGCGTTCCTTACCATGGCGCGCGAGAAGCACTACGAGTTCTCGTCGCTACGGCGCGCTAAGTATAGTACCATGTCGATGTTGTACGAGTTGCATAATCAGGGACAGGATAAGTTTGTGTATACATGCAACAACTGTAAAGGGCACGTGGAAACACGGTATCACTGCACTGTGTGTGATGATTATGACTTATGCATCCAGTGCTACGAGAAGGACGGTCATCCGCACAAGATGGAGAAATTGGGCTTGGGATTGGATGACGAATCATCACCGGGCGATAGCAAACAGGCGAACCCGCAAGAGGCGCGCAAGTTGTCGATTCAAAGGTGCATTCAGTCGTTGGTGCACGCGTGCCAGTGTCGCGACGCCAATTGCCGCCTGACGAGCTGCTGCAAGATGAAGCGCGTGGTCACGCATACGAAGGTGTGCAAACGCAAGACGAATGGCGGATGTCCCATCTGCAAACAGCTCATCGCACTCTGCTGTTATCACGCTAAGCACTGCCAAGAGTCGAAGTGTCCGGTGCCCTTCTGCTTAAATATTAAACATAAACTTAAACAGCAACAACTTCAGCAGAGGTTAGTTTGGATGCAGTTATTTATTTCGTTCTTACATTCATAAATAAAAATTGTTTTTGTTGTTGTGTTCTTCAATGTGTTTTTGTTTTTCTGTAGACTTCAACAAGCGCAATTGCTGCGTCGTCGCGTTGCCGCGATGAATACGCGAACGGTTGCGCCCACAAGCGCACTTCCCACCAACAACGTACCCATGGTTACGAATGTGCCGAGCGTTGTGCCGCCAGGTGCGGTGAGCCCTTCGATGAACACCAATGCGCTGGGAGCGGCAGGTTTAGGCGTGCAGAGTCCACATCAACCGGGTATCGGATTGAAACCCGGTACTCAGACGCCACCGGCAAACGTGCTGCAGGTAGTAAAGCAGGTGCAGGAGGAAGCTGCTCGTCAACAAGCGCCAAATGTCAGTTACGGCAAGGTTAATCCCGGTTGTGTGCCTGGGCCGAATATGCCACCACCGCAGATGCAACTGCAGAGGCAGATGGGTGCACATATTGGTGGAAATCAAGGTATTGTCTAGTCAATTTTAATGTAGAAATATTTATTAATTTGTTTTATTATTTTTTTATTATCAGGTGGGACAAATCTGATGCCAATGGATCAGTGGCAACAACGCTATCCCAGCACACAGGGTCAAGCGATACGGCCACAAGGTCCTCCGGTGCTGCACCGACAACCGCAGATGGGCGGCGATCATATTCAGGGCGGAACTCCGGCGTTACGACCGACGGTAGGCAACATCCAGCAACAGCCCGGAGCCGGCAATATTCCACACAAAGCTGCCATTCAACAATTGATGCAGACTCTGCGATCACCGCAGAGCGACGAACAACAACGCCAATTGTTGCATATTCTCAAGAGCAATCCACAGCTTATGGCTGCTTGCATCAAGCAGAGACAAGTAAGTAATATAAAACCATTAAATTATGAAGGTTTGGTTTGTATTTGGAATCTTTTATAACGTTGTTTTTTCTTTTTAATTCAAAGGCTCAACAAGCACAACAGCAGCAAGGTGCAGCCGTTGTTGGCAACAATTCAGCACAGCCCCCACTGCAGCATCTACTCGGCCAGCAGCAGAACCCCACGCAAATCAACCGCATGCAAATGCAATCACAGCAGCAACAACAGCAGATGCTTGGCCACAGTGGACCCGCCGGTGCCGCGCAAGGCAACCCCGGTGCACAACAAGTAACGCAGCAGCAATGGTATAAACATCAACAGATGATGCGAGCGCAGCAACAACAACAGCAAGCGCAGCAGCAGCAACAACAACAACAACAGTTCCAGCAACCGAACGCACCGCCTACCTATCCTCGTCTGCCCGCCATCAATCGACAAGTTCCGATGGGTGGCTACAACAATTCCTTCGGCGACCAACAGTACCCCCCGCAGATGCAGGCGATGCGACCATCGCCATCACCCGTGGCATCGCCGATGGGCCCGCCCATATCGGTCCAGCAGCAGCAGCTCATGCAGAGCGTGCGCTCGCCGCCGCCTATCCGTTCACCACAACCGAACCCATCACCGCGGCCAGCGCCCAGCCCTCGCAACCAGCCGGTACCGAGCCCGCGCGGTCCCCAGCCGTCGCCGCATGATCTCGCTTCCTCTGAGATGTTGCTTGGGCAAAATCACTCCAATCAACAGGACGACGTACCTCCGATGACGCCGCAGGATCAGCTAAGCAAGTTTGTGGAACAGCTTTAGTGGTGAGTGACACTTTAAACAACGCAACGTTCTGCTCGCGACCTGGTGCTGTGCGGCGTCTGTATTTATTCTGAGAAGCGAACTGTGGTCAGCGCTCGTGTTTGTAAGTTATGTATAAAGTAGGTTTAAGGTTTTCCCAAAATGAGGTCTGTGCGTGTACGAGCGAGCGAGAGGACGACGATGCGCAAGAGGGCATGAGAAAAGACAAATCGAAATAGTAAATGATTTTTAAACGAATGAAATATGGCGTGCGTGCCGTCGCATTGCGCCTAGCAGCTAATTTATATTGAGACGAGACGTTCGCAAGCAAAATAATTGATCAATAAATTACATCAATATTTGTACATAATGTTTATTAAGGAACTTATTAAGGAAATATTATTAGACGTTTAATATTTGATGATATATATGGATTAAGAACAGCGTTTGCACGGACGCAACATTTATTATAATAATTATGATATATTATTGTATAAAGAGGAGTTATACAATAATTGTTTTAGTGAAGAGTTTACCTAAAAGTATTTCGCTTTGCGAGGCTGTGTTATAATTTTTCTCTTAATTTAAAACAAAACAAAAAACTGTAACTGTTACTTTCCTCGTTTTTAAGTATGATCATGCGACGAACTGATGAGCGGATTTGATTGCAAAGCAAGAAGCATTTGGACGGATTGTTACCTGCACACAAAAAAAATCATAAGTCGACGATGGCGGCGAAGAAACAAAGTAATAATTTTCTAATTATAAAATAAACATAAACATAACATTTATACATATATATATATGATTATGACGATATGGGCTAATTTTTATACATACGTACGAAGAATTCAGTTGTGTTTGTGCGTGTGATGCGTGCGGTTGCGTTTTTCGTTGTTATTCCTCTCCCAGCGCTTGTGATCGACGGATGATCTTTTGGGAAACGAAACCAAACAATTGCGGAAGGTAAAGTGCGCGCATATTTGTTCCGCTCGGAACCAACTCGAACAAGTTCACCACCCATGCATGCCTACCCCCCGCCTCGCCCCTGTAAGAAAACATGTCCTTGTGTACACAGAACTCTCTTAATTGTTTTTATACATATATTTATAATTTATATATACATATAGATATATATTGATATATATATTGAATACAATTATTACGCCCGTTGATGATGATGATTCCACAATGTGGAGTGCGCGCGATTTTGTGTGTGTGTAAAGTAAAGTGTAATAAAACAAATGCTGCGCGGTGGTGTTTTCGTTTCACGGTGGCGGCCGGTCTGCAATAGAGACGGGCGCCCGGAGATTTATTGTAATTAATAATTCGTTTTTCGACTAAGAGTGATGCTAAACTAATGTCGTGCGCGTCCGGTCGAGCGCGCCCACGCTGATTTTCACAAGTAATTGAACACTCCCTCCTTTTATTTATTATTTTTGAACATACAAGAAAGAAATATTAGAATTACATTCTTAGTGTTTAAGTATTATATAAAAAATAAACGATATATTGAAAAATTATAACATTAGTACCGACGCAACATCCAAAAAACGATTAAAACTTGTTTTCTAGATGTCTTGTAGTACTTTCTTTGTAGTTGATAGTCACAACCAACGAAAATAACTGCACCTTTCAGGAATCAACAACTAGCGAATTGATGTCGGTTACTCAAGGTAATAACTGAAATTCTGTAAAGTGTTTATTACATTTATTTATTTTCAGCTAGGAAACTCCTTGCAACTGACGCATACTTCTCCGAAGTGGAAGCTAAAACCAGCTTGCCCTTATATTCCAGAGGGCTGTCTGGTACAGAAGTGGTGGGGCGCAAGATAGACTTGAGTTTTCGAATCTAGTGCCCCCACCAGCTCGATGTTGCCAGTATTGTATACCACGCTGCCCCACCCTTTTTTGCGGGTTTGGGGCAAGTGCAAAAGGGCAGCACGCAGTGCGCTCCGCACTCAGTCGTGCCTGAGTCGTCCAGCAGTTCAGCCGCAAGTCCCTAAGTTCCTCTTTCTTCTGTCTACAGGTTCCAGATTCTTCTTCTGGCAGTTTGTTCAACTGATGCAAATGGTTGCATATTCAAATTTGTTTTGAGTGATGCTCTGTTCGAATAATTCATTTAAATCTGTTATAATCCGTACAAAGTAATTTTATATGCAATCTTAATATATGACTTAACGGTCTTACCAATGGATTACGTAGTTTCGAAATAGATTTTGTAAGTAATTTATAACTTTTGAATCTTATTTATATTTGTATAGTGATAGTTTTCAGTAATGCGCAAGACGAGTTTCATTCGAATCTAGATGATATATGATACAAGTTAACTTTCACAATGTCAAATTTTCCCTCTTAAATCAAAAATTAACAAATTTTATAACCTTCAAGTTAGATCTCTGAAAAGGTACTGACTCCTGCAGATTTACTAATTAAAATGGTGTTTTAATAATTAGGTGATCCCTTCCTATAAATAAATGATTGTGGTAAGTCAAATTTTACTCTATAATTATGAATATAGGATAGGAATTTATACAAACTCAGTAATTCTTGTAATATTATAATGAATCTATTACACATTTACATGACTTGCTTGTATCACACATCCATGCAATGTGATGTGCTTCACAGTTTACACTCAATAGAAAAAATTGTACGCTTCACTCTGTACAAGTTATACAAACAGTACAGGTTGTCAGTACAAATGATCACATCTTTGATAAGTCAAGTACCACTAGTCTAGTTGAGTTGCAATGGCTTTTTTTTGGTTTGGAAGAGATGATAGTGTATAAATCCTCCCTCTTCGATTGTTGTACATGTGAGTTATGCTGAATAGATTGTATGGAAAATCGACCTACGGGGCTGGACTACGCTCGTAGATGATTGATAACGAAGGGGGCTATAGTAAAGTACAAGAAATTAGTATATATGAACTATTCATTCAATGTTCATTATTAAGTTGAAAATGTACCTGTTTTGATTAAGCCACAAACGAGACCGAATATAAGCAAACTACTGAGGGTGGATTCACGCGCGCGGCGTTTTTCGTCCTCAGGATCACGGGGCGCGAATGGGCCTGGCCCAGCGGCTTGGATGCGACGCATTCTTGGGGCGGGTGTTTGTTGAAATTTTACGATGTGAACAGATAAGAATGGGGAACGTGAGTACTCGTATCTAGTTTAGGTTATGTTGAAGGGCAGTTCAACGATCTCAGATAATCTTCGAGGTGTCAATATTTAAAGAAATTAGTAAGGTACATATTGATGTTTTAAATAAACCTATTAATAAATAGTAGACTTTATTTTTAATTATAATACTTGAGCATTTAGCTTAACTAGTAAAAGATAGTTTAACATTGCTTGTAAATTCAGTTGCCTAATGAATCAGTGCGTAGTGAATGAACATTGTTCAAGTTTGTGTTTTCAGGAATAATTTTTGAAGTATAGTTTACTTATCAATAAAATTGACATAAATCTCTGTCATTTTAATTAAATTTATAATGATTGTAAGATGTTGCAGTATTAGTTGGTGGACGATATGGGCGAACTTGAAAACGGTGCGATGTCATTTCTTGCACTGAGTGTTATTTCACCATTGATAATTTTAAATTATAATGAAATATTTTAGTGGTGAAGATGGTTATTTGCGGTGTAATTATTGTTACATGCCTTCGAATTTTAAGTCGATAAATTTCAATTAAATAAGAAATTAAAAATGGGATTAACAACGTATTATAGAAGTATATCAGTTGCAATATTAACTTAAATTGTAATTATAGTAAGCATGCTTTTAGTTGCCAAACTTTGCGCCGCAGTCTTTATAGTTATTACTTTTGCCAAGCTCGTCAAAGCTGAAGATTCTGATACATTCTTAAAGATGATTTTGGTAAATTTACAACCTTTTATTCAATTGTTGGCCAGATAATCAAGGAAGAGGAAATTAAATATTTCTTTTTTTTAACAAAGTCTTATCGTGTTTATTTTTATATAACAAATTTATGTAACAAAATAACTATTTATAATCTATATAAAATATTACAAAAAATATTCTTAGAGATTGATGAAACGTCGTTCCATTGTTTTCTCGCACTCTGTGCAATGCCTTCATTGCCACAGGAAGAATTAGGAATATTATGTTAACGATTGCACGTCGCACCCTTGAATCAAGTGTTCTCCCGAGTTGAAATGTCTCGCAATTTGAGTTTACTCTAGACATAAAATCAAATCTTCAGCCTCCAATTTCATGCCCATCTTGATGTCCACAGATCCCACAACGCCATCAACTGGTGACTGTACAACGGTCTCCATTTTCATGGCGCTAAGAATAACGAGTGGCTGGCCCTTGGTGATGCGGTCACCCTTCTTCACACGAATGTCGATGATTTCACCTGGCATAGGTGCGCCCACCTGTTTCGGGTCGCTCTTTACTGCCTTGGGATGAATGTGCATTTCCTTACGCGCTTCATTATCCTTGATGAAGACGGAACGCAGAGTACCGTTGAGCTCGAAGAACACTTCACGCTCTCCGTTTTCTGTGAGGTCTTCAGCGACGGCTAGTGTCTTGATGCCAAGGGTCTTACCACGTTCAATGGATACTTCGAATTCCTCGCCCACTTTGGGACCTGTGAGGAACATGCGTGTGTCGAGGTGTGTTACTGGACCATATTCGGACACGAAGGAGAGGAAGTCCTTGGTGACCTTGGGGTACAACGCAGCAGACATGATATCCTTATCTGTCACGGGGAAGTCAGCCGGAACGCTAGCCTAGAGAAACAACACAAAAGGTTAGTTTAGTTGATAGTTAATAGGTTAAGTGGTTTTTGTCCTACCCTAAGTTCATCCTTAAGTTTTCCAAAGTCCAATGGCTCCATAGATGCGCCTGGACGACCCTCAATTCTTGGCATATTTCTAAGCACTTTGCTTCTGAAGGGTTCAGGGAATCCACCATAGGGCTGTCCAATCCAGCCTTGTAGGTACTCCACAACGGACTTGGGTAGAGATAATTCTTCAGCTTTGTCCAAAACGTCTTGGGGTTTAAGTTGGTTTTGTACCATAAATTGTGCCAAGTCACCAACAACCTTCGATGAAGGTGTGACTTTGATAATATCGCCAAGAAGCTGGTTGGCTTCAGCGTAGGCTTTCTTGATGTCTTCAAAGTGGTCTCCAAGACCAAGAGAGTAAGCCTGGAACTGCAGATTAGTATATTGTCCTCCGGGAATTTCATTGCTGTAGACATCAGCATTTCCGCTCTTCATTGTCGTGGTGCATTCGAATGGTGCGTAGAGAGTACGGGTCTGCTCCCAAAAGGCGGAGTAGTCTGAAACGGTAGAGAGATCGATTCCAGTGTCAAGCGCTGTGCCACGAAGTGCCGCCACAATAGCACCCATTGATGGCTGCGATGTGAGGCCGGACATAGAGTCAACGGCAACATCTACAACATCAGCACCGGCTTCAGCGCATACCAACATAGATGCGACGCCATTTCCGGATGTGTCGTGGGTGTGAATATGAATTGGCAGATCTGGGTATTTGTCACGGAGAGCAGTGATCAAAATTCTGCAAAAAACGTCTTGTTATATCTGTGAATGAGTAATTTTAGATTATTTACTTGGCAGCAGTAGGTCGGAGTAATCCAGCCATGTCTTTGATTGCAAGAACGTGCGTGCCAGCTTTGACCAATTCATCAGCGAGGTTTAGGTAGTATTTAAGGTCGTATTTCGTCTTTTTCGGATCGGAAACGTCACCAGAGTATGAAATAGCGGCTTCAACGATGCCTCCAGCTTTGCCAGCTGCTTCCATACCGATGATCAAGTTGGGGAGATAGTTCAAAGAGTCAAACACTCTGAAGATGTCCATACCACATTGCACCTTTAACACAAATAAAAATATGAATATTAAAAGCGAAATATTTCATAATAAAACTTTATAACTTACGGATAACTCGCAGAATTTGAAGATAACATTGTCCGGATAATTTGTGTAGCCAACAGCGTTAGCTCCGCGTAACAACATCTGGAATGGAATGTTCGGAATCAGTTTACGCATCTCTTCTAAGCGTTCCCATGGGCATTCATGGAGGAAACGCATAGCAACATCAAAGGTAGCACCACCCCAATTTTCCAACGAATATAAGTTGCTCATCTTGTGTGAAACATAGGGAGACACTTTAAGTAAATCGTGGGTGCGAACACGAGTTGCAAGTAGAGATTGATGGGCGTCACGGAAGGTCGTGTCCATGAGTAGTAGTTGTTTGCTATTTCTAACCGCCTTCGCGAATGCTTCGGGGCCTTTTTCTTTGTAAACCTGGCGCAGACCCTGTGGGGGCCTCACATCATCTATAGAAATATTAGAAATTAGTGTTTTGTCCGCTATGAGACAAATTCAAATATTTTTACCACCATTTTATTTAAAGATTAAACATTGTACGATTTATGATGGTAAAAATATTTGTAATTCATGCTCGAAACATGCATTGATTGATAGAAGCGTTGTTCAATGCGCAAATAAAATCAACATCAGCAAAACATGCACAGAAAAAAATAAAATAATTGTGTATATTACGTGGTGTTTCCTCGTGACTGTCTGTAAAGTACGCTGTAAAACAAAGTGGAAAAAGCATGCTTAGAAAAGTGCCACACAAAACATAAAACGGTTTAACACAACAAACGCTACAAATAACTATAATACTTTCTGTTCTAAGCTATAAACTATAGTGTTTAAGTTGATTATTTAATTCGTTTGAGTTGATGTTTGTTGTGAAAACCACAAAAATATATTAAAAACCACACGAAATTAAGAAAATACGCAGAATATTGTGTCAATGGCAGAGCTTCAAAGTTAGTTAGAACAACCAGTCGAAAATCACCTCCGAAGATCAGTGAGTTCGACAACCAAAAACCAACAGAAAATAAAGTCCAAACGCATTGGCCCACTACTGGTTGTTTCTTTAAGATTTGAATTTGTTTTTGCTACCTGCACGCTTTGTGAATTTTATGTTGCGCTCCTCGCGCGACGATGTCGTCTCCTGGTAGTCTACATTGACACATAGTGTTTAGTTATCAAATCAACAAAAACACAAGAAAATCGTACAGTTTTTTTGTTATCAGTACAAAAGTCGAAAAGTAGATTGAAAACTATTGAAATTTTGTAAACTTGTCACTTACCCTGCGACACCGCGGGGATGAATGGTGTAATTTCAGCGGGTTTAAGATTAGTTGACAATGGTGTGGTGGGTCCGTTGACTAGGACCTGTCCAATGTAGTTGAGAAGTTTCTGGGCACGATTCTGAGATGGCACAAAGTTGAACAGTTGTGGGTTTTCGTCAATGAAGTAAGTGTCAACGGAACCGTTGAGGAACTTTTGGTTTTCCAAGACGTTGAGCAAGAAAGGAATGTTGGTCTTCACACCACGCACACGGAACTCGCGAAGGCAACGATTCATCTTGGCGCAGGAGCTTTGAAGATCGCGAGAGTGGGCGATGACTTTACAGAGAAGAGAGTCGTAGTACGGAGAGATAATGGCGCCTGCAAACGCAGAAGCACCATCGAGACGGATACCCATGCCTTCACCGCTTCTGAACACTTCAATTCTTCCGGTATCTGGTTGGAAACCTTTGGCGGGGTCTTCGGTAGTCACACGACATTGAATGGCAAAACCCTATGGAAAATATTTGATAATTTATCTTAGTATTCAGGAATGAATTTCACTTACGTTAGGCGCAATATTTTCTTGTTTTAATCCCAATTCCGGCAATGTCATGCCTTCAGCAACACGAATCTGTGATTGTACTAAATCTACACCAGTGATTTCTTCAGTGACGGTATGCTCCACTTGCAATCTAGCGTTGACTTCAATAAAGTAGAAATTTCCGCTTTCATCGGCAAGGAATTCGACGGTTCCAGCATTTTCGTATCCCACATGTCTGGCGAGTTTGACTGCGCATTCAAACATGCGTTGACGGGTGACGTCGTTTAAGTGCGGGGCCGGTGCCATTTCCACGACTTTCTGATGTCTCCTCTGCACAGAGCAATCGCGTTCGTAAAGGTGCACAACATTTCCGGCTTTGTCTCCTAGCAATTGTACTTCAATGTGACGGGGGCGCTCGATGAACTTTTCAATAAACATGGAACCATCGCCGAAGGCTGCTTTGGCTTCTGATGATGCACGTTGGAAGTTCTCTTCTACTTCTTCCATTTTTCTTACGACTCTCATACCACGGCCGCCTCCACCAAATGCAGCCTAAAATATAAATTTGAGTTTTTAATTCTAGCCACAATTTTCCTCTATTATTTTTGGTTTACTTTGAAAATAACTGGTAATCCGTGTTTCTGACAGAAGTCCATAGCCTCCTTGGTGGTTGTCACAGGACCATCAGTACCCGGGACAATTGGTACACCTTTTTAACATTAATCATCAAAAATTAATTATTGTTAACAAAATTTTGTATTAAATACTACCTGCTTCAATAGCAGCAACCCTAGCAGCTACCTTGTCACCCATTTGTTGCACAACCTTCGGGGAAGGTCCAATAAACCTCATACCCGCATTGACGATAGCCTGAGCAAAGTCCGATCGCTCCGAAAGGAAGCCGTAACCCGGATGCACGGCATCCACGCCATTGTCCAAGCAAATCTTAACGATTTGATCGATATCTAAGTAAGCCTGAACTGGGGGTTGACCCACGCCGACCATGTAAGACTCGTCGGCTTTCAGTCTGTGCAGATGTGCTCTGTCCTCCTTGGAGTAAATGGCCACTGATTTGATGCCCAATTCGTTACAGGCGCGAAAAACTCGCACGGCGATTTCACCTCGGTTCGCCACGAGTACTTTACGGATGGGTTTGTACTCAACGCTATTCGCATAGGTCCTTCCAGAACTCGTTGTGAGTCGGGAGTTAAGTTGGGACAGGCCATAACGGCTGTTACGGTTAACAAAACGTAACAACATGATGACGATTTATTAAAACTAAATAAAAAGTGCTAAAATGTCTAAAAACTTGGCTCCTCGTATGTTCCTGAAAGGAAAAACCAAAATTTTGATAAGTCCCAAACCGGAAACCACTAAATTTGATTGTTATAATGATATTTTGCATTAATTTAAACATAATTATATTTTAAGTGTATAAAACTGCAATTTCTTAGTATACTTTTTTTGCAATCTAGATAAAATTTCATCACATCGTCGAGTTTACCGTCTCTATGTTTGTTTACCAACAAATACACCGTCGGGCGAACGTGGAACGAGTTCAAGGTGCACAATGCTCAACTCACTCTCACCACTCGTCAAGTACACTCGTGTATGTATTACTCATTACTTTTACGATTTTACGCTTAATTTTAGAATAGTTGCATGGTCGCATGGTGTTATTTGCCTTTTATGGCGTAATATTTACATAAATATCGTGCGTTTTATACGAGTAACGATTTCAATAATAATTCAGCAGCCATTTTGTGCCGGCCTCATGTCAAACAAGTTACTTTAATTTTTTCCGTTTAAAAATAGTCGAAATTATTTTGAGTCTTCTCTCCAAGTGTCTCACGTGGAGTGCACAGTACTTTCAGGTTTCAGTTTCAATTCCTGGTTTAAATTTAGACGTGGAGATTCATTTTGTCTCGCGAGCAAAGTCTCGTGCCAATCTCACCGCATGTATTGGCAGCGCGTAATTTGTCCGCACGTACATAATTCATTAGCTATCTGTTGTTATCTGTTTGCTGTCATCTTGATGTAGCTTAATGCGTGTACAAACATAATCCGGTGCGTTACGGGATAATAATCAGATGTTGCGCGTCCGAACGTCACTAATGGTGATAATGGCGCCAACAATGCTTTCATTACGCGCAGCGTAAGTGCCCGCTCGTAAAATTTGCATTCATTGTTAATTAAAAACAAATAAAGAGCCAATCAACTACAATCAGAACAGAATATAATCAATTCCTTGCTATTGTTAAATTGGAGCAAAATATTTAATTAAAATTATATTGAAATAGTAAAGAAAACTATAAGAATACATTTTGTGTTAGTTGATTGTTTCGTGATGACGTTTGATAGCTGTTAACAGTGTTAATGACAAGATACATCAACATGTCAAACAGTTGGTAATACTAATCGTAGTAATCAGAAGCAAATATTTGCATAAACACGTATGATTTTATGTAATTTGTTATTTCGTGCTGCCTAGCAGCAGATCCCCGCAAATTACTTACGCTTTCACGCATAATTTACACGCGGTATAAACATACACATGCTGATTGACGATAATAGCCGAAAATCACACGATAAATAATGTTAGACCCATGTAATCGACCTACATTTTTATCACGTGTTATGTCCTTGAAAATTTCATCGTTTTCAACGTTATTATATAGAGAAATCATAGAAAATATCAACAAGTTTTATATAATCATATAAGCACGTGTAAATCGGATACATGTACACGATACACGTGTGTAATTATTTATTGATCGATAACTCGCGTAAATATTGTCGTACTTTATCATAAATTCGCGTTTATAATAGTTTGCAAAATATGCTAATCACACAAGCATATTTAAAATAGTTTATTGCGCTTATTATTTAATTATTTGTTGATTATTAGTGGTGTTTATGATTTGATTGAAGTGCGGTCTATTTACAGTTGTATTTTGACTTAGAGTAGTTAATCGGGTCATCACTCCTTATCTCTGCATGGCGGTGTTTGTGTGCATGTCGCGCCGGCACGTCGAAACTCGTTTAAAACACGGAATAAATTCGTATAATGCGCGTGATAGAAAATTTACGCGCTAATGACTTTGCATTGATAAGAATAATTATTGTTGGCATAATAATGTCACAGTCTTGTCGGTGGAGACACACCTGTACTTAAAAAATATTTAAATTTATATTTTATTTAAAAGTTTAAAATTAAAGGTGTAATTAATTAGGGGAAAGGTTTGTGTTTTACTGGATTGTGTTGTCTGCTAATGAATAGTAGTTATCCAACGTGGTACATATTTTCGCTATAAATACATTGTGGATGTATTTAGCAATGCGTGCGTGTTGAGCATGAATAACTAACAAGTCGGCATTTTGGACTTTGTAACGCAATTTTGTGTTATGTGCTTGTGAGTATGTCGAGTGCGGTTGCTTCTATCGCGTTTTACGTTTTTTTGTATTTGCGATTCGCCGCTCTCGTTTCTCGTTCCGGCATGTCATTTCGCGTTATTTTGACTTACAACACACACATGCCATTTTTTCAAAATCCTCGATGATAAAGACTAAAAATAACGAGTTATTCTATAAATTGCTAGGCGAATGTAAACTAACTATCAATAACATTAACTTATACTAACTGTTTTGTAGTCTTTAAATTACTTAATTAAAGTTGCAGAACTTTATACGATTTTGTTGTCACTTGGTATATTATATTTACTAAGATTTGTTATGATACTCGTGCTGGATATACACATTATCTATAATACTTGACATGAGCGCAAAAACGCTGAAGGATGTAAACAATCACTCTAAAAATTACAAAACATTAATCACATTTCAAACTTATGAATTGGAACGAATTTAAAGCTAAAACAAAATTGAATTCACTTTAAAAATTGAATGAATTGTGATCTTGTGCAAAACAAAAACTCGTCTTGGGTTAAAGTCCTTTTAAAGCCCCGTCGGCGCAACAACATAACAATTAAGAAGTCCATAATCGTTGAGTCGCAGACGTTCTGTCATCGTTTTCGTCCGGCGAAAGTTTACACGTGAATGTTAACATTCAGACGTCATCAATGAATGCGAATACATTGTTTTGCATGCGAATGCTAAATTTATTTCAGAAAAACAAACGCGTAATCGCATATTAGTTACATAACCCAGCTACATAAATTAGAACGATTTTTTTTTTTGCGAAACTGAAATACCATAAATAAATTTTCCACATTAAAATATTGAACTTTGGAATTAAAAATATTTCTCTAGTTTTAAATTGTTATGCGATGAGTATTTATGTAATTAAAGAGGAAAACATGCGTCGCTGCATTATTTCTGGAATTGAAACTTGTTCTACCTAATATTTAACCGGTTCCTGCCATTAAGGGACGCGCAGTGGATCGCGTGCGGTTTTTTAATGTGTTGTCGTGTATAAACCAGAAAGGAATAAATTCGAGTTCGAAATACTTGTACAAGTCACAAACAATTTACTTTTCATTTAATTTTTTTTTTCATTTGCGGTAAATATTTTTGATTTCAATTAAATTTATCACGAAAGGGGAAATTTTAGTGAATATGTTAACGAGTGATAAACCCACACAAACCCGGCGTGCATATTTTGTCTCGACGATGGGTTAAAGTTCACAAGTCCATAGAGCTTCGCTCGTGCTTCGATTTCTTATATAACGCTTTGATAAAATGCATCGCACATTTAAAAAAATTCTTAAAAATCCAATAAAATAATAATTAATAATTATGTAATATATCAAAGAGCAGTTTTTGTTGATGTGTGAGTTTTTATGTTATTTTTTAAATCGAGTACATAGAAGTGGTATGAAGATGTGATGAACTGATGACCTAGATTTCTAGACCTTGGGGGTTGACGCTCGTTTTGTTCATGCGCAAGAACGCCGTTGGCCAGCACCCGGTGTAAATTTGTAATTTTAATCATAGTTTCATTTAAATTATTAAATTATAATTAATGTTTTATTTGTTTTTATTGATTTAATGAATTTTTTTAATGAAATAATTTATTTATGGGTTTATAATATTTACCTTGTTGTTTTAATTGTTGGTTCTCAAGGACACGCCGCAATGGGTTCGTCTTGTGTATTTCTCGATCGGGAGGACGACGACACCGAAAACAATTCAAAAGGCGACGTGCGAACGACGACCGTACCGAGGAGCCGACTGACGGACCGGATTGCTTGGCGGTGCGACTAGGTGAGCAGTACGACGAGCGGGTTGCGCGCGAGTGGTGCATCCGTGTGGTCGGAGAGTATGTTGTGTTGCGTATATTACATTGCGTTTTCATGCCGCTATACTCGTAGTTTTTCGTATTTGAGTTCGTTTCCTGCTTTTTGCATCGTTTCTGCTTTTTTTTTAAATATTTGCAAAAGATTGAAATGCAATGGTAGTACGAAATGGTTTACTTAACTTTACTTAGCTTATTTGCAAAAGGTTGAATTTTTAAAGTTCTGATTATTCGACAGTTCTTTTGAAGCATTGGTCTATCTTTTATCTGATAGTGACTGTTTTCATCTCTTTTGCTACCGGCGTGCAATTGTTTTTTTTTTTAATTTCTTCTATATTTTTTCTCGGAGAACTTTATTATCTTGTGAAGAAGGTATAAGTAGTTGAATTGCTACAGAATAGTATCCGTTGGGGTAATTTAATTTACGACGGCCCTATAGCAGATTTATTAATTTGTGACATTTATTTATATGCGAGTTTGATAATCGCGCTTATTATGTTCGTAAATCATGAATTAAGTATTTTTATTTGTCACCATGCGAAAGAAGTCGTTGAGTATTGTTCTATTATTACTAATAGGAATTAGAATATAATTACTATACTTTCTCATTTCGAGTTTGCGAGCATTATGGAATTAGTTTCAAGTTCTTCAAGAGTGTATTCTTTTCATAATGTTTAAAATGAGGAATTGTTTATTACGTTTATCGATGGGCCGTTGCCGCCCCCAGAAAGTATGCGCCAAATCTCGTAAAATGGCTTTCAAAATCCTGTGTTTTATTGTTATTGCTTTAATACGTTACGCTTTGTACGTTTTTAGGTGTAAATCTTCGTCTTATACAGAGTGGCTAAGAATGCAGAGTTGCGACGGCGGCGCTAGGTTGCACGCTCCGGTAGGCTAATATCTTTAGATATCGTTTAGGAACATTTCGTCACAGGGATGAAAGGCAAGCTATATATGTGCATGGAATCTACAGTTCCTAGCAGAATCGCTGAAGACAGTAAAATTGTGGCTGGAAAAATTCAATTTCTCTCGGCTTTGTTAATCTTCCATAAAACAAACGGATGTTTATTTACCAACAATTATAGGTAAATTAATAATTTTTATTTAGCGATTTTTGTGACATTCTTAATTACTAAACTAAAATGTTGTATAAATTTCGTGATTCTATGCCTTCTGTTGCTAATTATTTATGTTTTTTAGTTCTAAATCATCGGTGTAGTGTCATTGAATGACGAGGTTTGCTGTTGATCTCTGTAATTCCACGAAGCAGCAATACTCATGTTGGCGCATCTAACAGAAGATAGCGACACTATCGACTTTTTACAGCTGCAACATGTTTCTTTTAAATTAATTTGGCTTAAAATTCCGCGCAAGCCATCTATTTTATGTTTAGTTTACGAAACACTTGACAAGATTAATTTTATCGTTATTGTTGTTTTCCACGTATTTATCTATTTGAATGCTTTATAAAGTGTTATAGATTTAATTGAGCCCAGAAACTTGGCTCAACTGATAATAATAATGGGTCGATTCTGTTTTGCGATGTTACTGTTATTTTTAGTTTATTACTATTAATATTGCTGTTTTTGACACTGTATGATATAAAGAGTCAATGCAAAGAAACATTTTATATATGACAAATAATAGTTAAAATTAATGAAACATTGGAGTACAGAATCGATTCAGTAATGAACCTAAAAGCAACGAAATTTATGTTATAAACTTATTGTAAGAGGTTGCGTGCGATAGATTTATATGTCACAAGTAGGTTCTTGCAAAAGTTTCGCGGTTTTCCACTTTGTTTCTGCCTTGTCGGTCTTGATCAATCGTCGCATCGTCCAGAGGGTCGCTGGCGGTTTAAAACTTGTTGTGGGTAGATTCTGCACTACATGCCAGTGCGATAAATAACATTTAGTTTTAATATGGTTGTACTGAATCGACCCATTAATCAGGCGTTAAACTGCCAAATTGGTATTGTAAATTTACTGTATGTTATTGCGCGTCCGTTTATCGCTTTTATGTCGGTCTTCCTGAGCAATCATTGAATCGCTTATCTACGCAATCTTAAAATTCGCGTTTCGGTGCAGTAGATGTTTATCGTACAAGTCGGGACTTGTGTAATTTTCTTTATTTTCTGTTTTCTGGCGTGGCGTTATATTGTGATTTATAATTACAAGTCGAAATTTTGTTTAATCGTGCAAACATGTGGCAAAGTGTTTGTTTTCAATTTAATTGCGTTCAGGAGTAGCAGAAAACTTGCGATTTAACGGTACCGGTAACAAAATGATGTATTGAAACTACCCAAAACTTAAGTTATAAATGTACTTCGTCTGAAAAGGCTATCTTAACTTGTACATTTGATTTTGTTGAGAAAAACTGCACCAGACTTGTCTACTTAGTTCAATTGAGCAAGACAACGCAAGTTCAACAGTAACTGTGGCAAAACATACGCTTTATATTTATAGGGCCCAAAAATATGTACAGATTTGTATTATTATTGTAATATGTGGTAATCTGTGGTCTGTGATAAATGTGCACGCATCTTGTTATGCTTTGTAGAACTGTGGGTGGCGGTGTAGACTGTATACCTATTTTTTATACCTATGTAGTATTGTCGTGTACTATGTCTATCTTCTTGTTAATTCTTGAATTAACATGCCCCTTTGACATCCTGTAGAATTGTACCGTTTGAAGTGTAGACTTCTTGGACTTCTTTTCGTGCAATTTGAAAGAAAATATGTGATTATATGACAAATATATACTTTAGTTTACTATTTATGTAGTATATAATGTTTATTTATTACTAAATTGATAAATATTTGCATTAAAATTGCAAAATTTTATTAATTTATTTTGAATGAGTACATCCTTGCGACGTCTACATTTGAAGTTTTGAGTTATGTGTAAAAATTGCAATTCGTTTGGACAGGGTACAGCATGCGCATTTTCGTGTACGTGTGACACACGACGCGGCAATTTAAATGCGTGACAACTTACTGACACAAATGCAATCGCTCACTGCCTCATATGCATGCCAAACTTTTTGAAACACTTTGTATTTTCGTGTGGTACCAGAAAGTATCTTCAGATGACGCAACGATGCATATTTTTATTAAAAATATTCCTGCGAGTAAAAGCCGACATGCACAGTTGTGATGCCGGCACGCATCTCTTACTTCGTGCGACAAGTAATAATACTCTGGCGAGTATTCGTGTTTCTCATTGTAAATTCGGAATATCGCGTTACATTTGATTGAATTTAGTGCTATTTATTGTGTTTAGTCACCCGTTAAATATTCGCGTTAAATATTCGCGTGTGTAATCTTCGCAATTCATTATTTTGCGTGTTTATTACGTTACCGCATCTACCGCATCTATTGCAATTCGGCCACAAGGTCGCGTGCCATCGACGCGCCGGCTTTGCGGATCTATTGTTTTTACCTGCGTGGCTGTTGCATGAGCTGCAAAGTCTTATTGTGCACAGTCTAGTTCAGTTTAGATCGCGGGTATTGTGTCTATTGCAATTCGCGCACATGGTCGCGTGCCATCGCGCGCCGATTTTGCGCATCTCTTGATTTGTTATCGTAAACTGTCGCGCCGTTGCTTGCTGCAGCCAGTTGCGTGTCGGTCGTTGGTTGGTTCAGACGTGTTTTGATTGACTAGTATAATTTGTTCTTACTTCTGCTTTCTTAATTTGTAATATATTCGATAATCAATCGACTGTTTAATCCTAACTACTATATTAATGTTATTTATTATTTGCGCTTTTTATGCACATTATTGTGCAAAAGTGGTAGATAGCGTTTCGTGTGCATACTTATGCAAATTACAAGATTCGGTGTCGGTCGCTAAATAAAGTGGATATAAGATGGCTCCCACGTAGATTTATTCATCATTATCATTGTGTAAGTCACTTTTAACTTAACAACACATATTGTGTTTGTTCTATGTTGTATGAATATGTTATTCTTAAATCTTATGAAATGTTTCAACTTCTTTTCTTCTAATTACAGCACTTGCTGTGACTTGGTGACTTATGCTCACAACAATTGGTTAGTTTATAATTCAACTATATTTTCAACATCCAAGAAAATAAAATTAAGTGTTTGTTTTGTAATTGTCCACACGTGAATTAAATTCTCCGTGTATTTGTTTGTTGCAGGCATTCGACCTGCAACCCGCGAAAATTTGCATAGAAGGGTGATTTTTTAACCCTTTTCCTTGAAATGTTTGTATTTTTTCGGGTTTGCACGCGATCTAGGCGGCGTATTAACTTCATCGCGGCGGCTAGAGATGCGGAAATAAATTATCCGTCGGGTTGTATTCGTTTGTTGTACAAATTCGAGCTGCAACACGCGAAAATATGCCTAAAAGGGTGATTTATCAACTCTTTTTCGTGAAATGTTTGTAATTTTTCGGGTTTGCTAGGCGGCGTAGTAACTTCAGCATGTCGTCTAGAGATGCGGAATTAAATTCTCCGTCGAGTTGCATTTGATAGCAGTAGAAGTGACTCGATTCAGGGCACCGTATGAAGGTAGCTGTAGGAGTGACTCGATTCAGGGCACCGTATGAAGGTAGCGATAGAATTGACTCGTGTTCAGGGCACCGTATGAAGGTAGCGGTAGAAGTGACGCCAATAAATTCTTTTCTTATACCGAGAAATTATGAAAGTAAAAGTAGATTTCGTGTATGTCGGTTATTTCGACATTCTGAAATTTTAGTTTGGTCTTTTCAACTACGAGTTTATCAGTACGTTTGTGTATAAACAACTTTTTTTGTTCGACTGACGCGTATTGTCGCTACGTACCAGCCTTACTCGTATTTACTAATTTGGTTTGCTCCGTTTTACACACTTAGAGCCAGGAAAATATAATTATATATGACGTGCGATTTTAATTGTAAGGGCGACTAAATAAATTCAAACTGATCAATTATATTCTAATGTTTTTCTTTATTTTATCCGAATTAAGATTAAATTGTTTCGAAGCAATTTGAACTCTTAAGAAAAGGTAAACAAACATTTATATTTTATTGACGAATGTACACGTCCAATGGTTGTATGTGGTAGTATTTACGATCTCACGTCGCACTGGAATTCGACCGGTTTATTCTTATCTCTTATTGTCAGGTGATTCGCGTACGATATTCGTGTATAGTTTTGTCCTATATACGCGACCGTGTGATGGCGTCGCGTGTATCGTTTGCTTACGCTTCAGGAATAAAATTAGTTTCGCCGTATCCGACGGATGGTTCGCACGCGGTCGTCTCGATTCTCCTTTCTTTGGATTTAATTCGGTAACTCGTATTACTTTCGGTGTTCTTAGTGATTATTGCTGACTATTGTGTCTTGCTAATGATTTATCGCTTATAAGATGTTCGCGAAATGCAAATACTGTGTATTTGTTCGTAAGCGGGGTGCCGACGGATGCCGTTTACGATGGAAGTTTTACAGTACTAACCAGTAAGTAAATTAAATAATATTCTCAACCACATTGATTGATTATGTTTCTGCCGTTTGTTTTTTTGTATTGTTATATTTTTGTAGTGTTTTATAGATTGCTATATTCATAAATGTGCTTAAAATTGCATGGCATGTGTTATCAATTCTTATTTCTTATTCTTTAACAAAAATTTTAGCACGTTTAGTTATATTTTTGGACCTTATACCCCAAAGAATAGAATTATTATTTATTTTTATCTTATAGAGAATTTTCTAATCTATCATATTCTTCAATCTGTTGGTCCCTTTCGCTTTTAGTTTAAAAGATATGCACTATTCAAATGTATTGACTTAAATATGACAAGACATTGATTTTTTGTTTATTTAGTTATATGGCAATTAATCGCATTTGTATAGTTGAATCTCATTCGGTGTAGCGTAGCAGGGTGGCGGTAAAAGTGTCTCCCATTCAGGGATGATTGTATAGCTGACTCCTTTAGCTGACACATTTTTTCTTATGAATTATTTTTTCAGCTCTTAGATTTCCAATTTAACCAGCTTATCTTATAGGGAATTTTCCGTTGATTAAGAGTTTGTAATTTGTTTTTGAGTATCACTGTAACATTGAAATGGAAGTAAATATAACTTTACAGACATTTGAAGGTGTTTTTTAAAGTGTAAAATACGCTTTATACATTTCGTGTGTGTTAACTAAGCTTTGGTAGGTTGAAACAAAAACATAATATCGTACATAATACCTCAAACATAATTATTTAAATTTTACTTACTTTTTATTAAGTTAATTTGATAATTTATATAATTATTTATTTTAGTTTCACGATGTTGTACAGTTATAAATGTATCACTCCTGCACCGAAATAGAAATAAGCAATATTTTACTGTTCTACACACATAAAAGTGTGAAGTAACGTTTACAAAAATGTTTGTGTTAAGTGAGCCTTAGTTGTTGTACATAAAAAATACTTCGATAAACTACGAAAAACACCCCCAAACTTCAGCAATATTTCGCGCATATTTAGTGTTTTGGGATGGAAATTGCAATTAACTAGCTTAGCTTATAGAGAATTTGGTGTAGATTGCCAATCTACAATCCGTTCCTTTCTATCTCTTTTAGTATCAGTATTCGTTTGAGTATAAACACGTTTTCGGGTCGCATTTACATCATATTTTACACTACGCGCAGAAGTTTTATTGCATGTATAGACTCTGCATTATTTTATCTCTGTTGTTTTTGCTCTGTTTTAGGGCGAGTCACGAGCCAAATTTGAATCGTCGCTTCGTCGGCCGACTCCCGATTTAAAATAAAATAAACAAATATACCTCTTCCCGCATGTCCCCTTAAAAATGTCATTTATTATGTAGATTTTTATTATCTTCAACATAAGTCCTGAGTATTGCAACGCGTGAAATACTGGTATGTAGTATATGTAATTAAGTGTATGTTTTGTACTTATCGACACGTGCTGGTAATATGTACGTCTTTTCAGTGATTGAACGCGAGCGGGCCGCCACATAAACTTGAGCGGGGTGTATTGAGTCGTAGAATTAAATTCTCCGTCGGGCTGTATTTGTTTGATGCAGGAATTCGACCTGCAACCCGCAAAAATTTACATTAAAGCATGATTTACTCACCGTTTTTCGTGAAATATTTGTATTTTTCGAGTTTGCACGCGATCTTAGCGTCTCAATAACTTCAGCGTGGCATCGACAGATGCGGAATTAAATTCTCCGTCGGGTGGTATTTGTTTGATGCAGGAATTTGACCTGCAACCCGAGAAAATTTGCATTAAAGTGTGATTTACTCACCGTTTTCGTGAAATATTTGTATTTTTCGAGTTTGCACGCGATTTTAGCGTCTCAATAACTTCGGCGCGGCATCGAAAGATGCGGAATTAAATTCTCCGTCGGGTGGTATTTGTTTTTTGCAGGAATTCGACCTGCAACCCGAGAAAATTTGCATTAAAGTGTGATTTACTCATCGTTTTTCGTGAAATATTTGTATTTTTTCGAGTTTGCACGCGATCTTAGCGTCTCAATAACATCTACGCGGCATCCAAGGATGAGGAATTAAATTCTCCGTCGGGTGCTATTTGTTTGATGCAGGGATTAGACTAGCAAGCTGCAAAAAATTAAATTTATATTCCTGTTTTTCTCAATCTTATGACATCCCAAAGCCAATAAATTCATTTCTTATGCCGAGAAATATTGAAAGTAACAGTAGATTTCGTGTATGTCGGTTATTTCAAAATAGTGAAATTTTAGTTTGGTCTTTTCAACTACGAGTTTATCAGTATGTTTGTGTATAAGCAACTTTTTTGTTCGACTGACGCGTATTATCGCTACGTACCAGCCTTGTACCTGGCTAAGCGAAGCGCACACGGCAGTCGTGTTACCGCGTGGTCCGCGAACGTGTCTTTCTAGTCGCCGTGCCTTTTGATGTTTTAATTGGATTAATCGTCGTTTACTTTGTCGACCATCAGTAAAATATTCGCAATGATCATGTGTGCCTGTTTTGTTAAATGATTTGTGGCGTTTAGAGTCTCCTTAAATTAGAAATTAGTGTCCATTAATCTGTGCGTGTGTTTTCAGTTGATAGAATATATTCCAGGATATAAAATCCTCTCTTTAATGCATAGGTTGCTGTGTAATTAAATTTATTTGCGGAAAGTTACGTCGGTTTAACTTAAATTGATGATTCTATATGAGTGATATGAAATTTGCATGTCACTTCTTGCAAATTACAAACACATGGTATGTAGCATTTTTATTAGAATTCTTAGTTCCGTTTCCGAAAATAACATGGATGATTTAATTACTACAAACACTGTTTTAAAAAAGTATCTAAAGATTATTAAAATTGGTAATATTCATATGGTCGACAACGCTCACTTTGCCGTAGGTCGCCGGCTCGGCCATCTATTCGCTGAACACGTGAATGTTTTTATTCGATTTGCACTCCTTAGCATCATTAAATTAAGAAGTTTCTTGTTGACCGAGTAAAATCTTGTACGTTGAATAGTTTTTCGTTTTCATAGTCTCCGTACATCTTAATATTTACAATAAGAATAGTTGTTTTTATCCTCTCTAACAACTGTATTGTTTTCCGCCGGACATTCTATCAATTTATGATGATGCTTCACCCGTAGGTTACTTTATGCAGTTGATGCATCAATTAATAAATATATATTCACAATATGTTAAAATGTAAATGATTTATTTTTATACCATCTTTTTGCTCAATTTCCCGATGATTTTTTGCTAAAATCTTGGATTATATATTGAAATATTGTTGTTTATTTGTGAATTTCCCTCTTCGTGTTGAGAATATTAACTCCCTTTGTAGATTCTAAAGTTTTCTTTTTGTAACACCATGTATATTAGTTTTCCTAACACTACGACGAAAATCGCCGGTATTTGTGAGTTTTGAGTGTACTCTGTTTCAACTAGAGATTTTCTTTCGGAAACACTCTGTATTTTCATTTTTTCTTTGTGTCCGTAAAAATTTTGCTTCAATTGTTATTTTTAGGGTTATCCTCATTGCCGTTTGAATTTTCTTTTTGTGGCACCCTCTATATTAGTTTCCCGGAGTCTCGCGTGAAAAACGAATGATATTTGTAGTGTTAAAATGATTTTTCTGTTTTCTCATTAAATTTTTCATTTGTAACACCTTGTATATTTGTTTCCATTTTCAATCCCTTAGAAAATGAGCTATTTGCTAATTTCTTTATCCCGGTAGAACATTATTACGTGATACTTGCTTACATGTGCGTGGCTATACAGGTCGTAAGTCCTGTTTCAACATGACGGTATGTATTTGGTTGACTTGTAAAATCTAAACTTGTATTCTATTGTTAATAAAGAAGTAGTAAGATATATTGACTTCTTTGATGTGTGTTTTTCCCTTCTATCATTTCAGGAACAGTTCCCTCTCTCAGGGGATGATCCCCACTATAAAAATTGTTAAGGTATTCTGTATGATTCGTGTACTCCATCTTTCATTTCAGCCACAGGTCAGAACTTGTAAGAATATTTTTAAGTGTCCCCTCTCTTGAAATGACTTAAAACTTAGAAATATTTGAACAAGACCTTATAAGGATTGTCCTTATAAGGAGTTCCCTCTCTCTGGGGGTGATCCCCCACCATAAAAATTGTTGATATGCCTAAGAATCCTGGGGATGAAGCGCAGAGACAACGTAGCTGTAGGATGGGCCGGGAGCAATGGACGGATCGAAGCAGTGACTGTCTAACGACACGGGCCAAAAAATTAAAAAATCTGATCTACTTCTGTTCTCCTTCTTCTATTTCCCTCCTCTTTTCTACTCTGTTTTCTTCCTTCTGTCTTCTACATTTCTATGCTATTCCTTCTTCTACTCCTCTGTTACTACTCTCTCTGTTCTTCGTTTCTCCACTTGCTTTTACTTTCTTACTTCTCATATTGCCTTCAGTTGTATTGCAATTTCTCTTATATTTCATTTTAGTTTACATATGCAACCCAAATTACACCTGTTATTTTCATATTTGAGAAAAATGCCTTCTATAACTGGAGATCGAACCATCGATCTACGGTATAGCAGCATGTGCTGCACACCTGAGAGCCACGCGGCTTTCTTATCAAATCTCATTCGTTTCTTCTATTTATGTGTTCATATCTTATGATAAAATAAAACAACATTATACATGCACCACACTATGCTATACTATGCTGTGCTATACTCTTACAGTGCACCACGACTTAATACCAATCCTGAAAACGACTAAGAGAACACTAGGGATATATGTAAACAAGAATGTAAGATTAAATTATCTTTTATTGACTGAATCATTTATAATTGTTATTAAGCAAATGATGCCTGTAAAATTTAAAAACTTAAATAAAAGTAAAGTTTTACTTGATGTTACTTACTTCCATCTATAAAAAACTAAAGCGCATAAACACCATTCCGCAAAATGTAAGTAGAATTGATGATACGCATTTCATTACTATTCCACGCGGACATCACAAATGGAAAACTTGTTCTCACATCAATCACATAGACACCGGCAGAACATATCCGACGGACGCCACGCACGCACCGCTAAAGATTACTCAAATCACTCGTTTTGCGCTACACTGGGCTGTTACTCTACCAAATCTCTCTGATGGTCAACCGATTCTAGTATTACTGCAGAATTAAAATATTAAGAAACGCGTAAAATCGTTACCATGTTTGATTAATGAACAAAACACGTGCGCACCATAACGCAGCGCTCAACTGACTAAGCCGGACTAAGCGGCTAAAGAATTGATAACCGACCCGCAGTTGGAGGGGCATTCTTCTATCTGTACACGACAAAAATGTTGTTACAAATATATTGCAAGTTCTAAAGTAAGCAGCTGAAGTTTACAAACAACATTATTTGGAAGAAAGGATTTTAATGAACGTACTGTGGAAAAATATCACATTTGTGATACACAATGGTACGACATCACGTTCGCCCGCTAGACACCTAAAACAACCGAAAATTAGAGTGTTCAAAGCACAAAAATTGAACTTTCGTTATTTTTCGTTTCGCTAAACATAAAAGTTGTGTATAAAAGTGACGTGCGCACCGCAACTCAGTGCACCAAAAACTAAACAAAAATGTAATAAGATTTCAAACCAAATCGATGGAAGCGCCATCTGGCCGTGGCGGAACAAAAGAAAATAGATAGCTCACACGAGCGCCATCTGGGTGTGACGGAACAAAATATATTAGATAGCTCGATCGTGGCACCATCTGGTTTTGGGACCACGAACTTGAAATAAATTACTACGAAATCTGCTATACACCTAAAACAAACAAAAATTAGCACGTCGAAGCACAAAAATGACATTTTTGTAGATTTCCCTGTGCGAATCCCACCAATTATTTATGAAAATAATAAACAGATTCAATACTTACAATCTGATGAAAGAATCGTGGTCCTCGAACAATTCGTTCGAATGCTATACACCTAAAACAAACAAAAATTAGCACATCAAAGCACAAAAATGACATATTCTCAGGTTATCCATGTGCTAATCCCACAAATTATTTAAGAAAATTATAAACAAATTCAATACTTACAATCTGATGAAAGAATCGTGGTCCTAGGACAATTTGTTCGCCTGCTATACACCTAAAAGATACAAAAATTAGCACATCGAAGCACAAAAATGACATTTTCGCAGGTTTCCTTTGTGCTAATCACACAAATTCATTCAAGAAAATTATAAAGAAATTTAATACTTATAATCTGTTGCAGGAATGGTCCATCTACAATGTCAGACTCAGGTGCAAAATCCCCAAAACCATCAAAAATTAGTCCTTCGAATATAAAAAATGCAATTTTAGGGGTCAATTTGTGAGATAATCACAAAAGCTAGTCAGGAAAATGATAAAGAAATGTAATACTTACTATCTGATGTAAAAATGGTCCTTCTACGATGTCAGACTCAGGTGCAAAATCCCTAAAACCAGCAAAAATTAGGCCTTCAAACATAAAAATCCAATTTTGGGGGTCAATTTGTGAAATAATCAAAAATTTTGTAGGAAAATTATATGGAAATTTAATACGTAAAATTTGATGCAAGAATGGTCCTTCTACGATGTCAGACTCAGGTGCAAAATCCCTGCACTCCACGCAATAGGCCGTCCCTTTGGTGTCCGTTTCGTTGATGTCGCAGCGAAGCCGGAGATATCACATCGAATGTCAGGCGATTCTCGTTTGTATGTTCCACTGCAGTATGTATTAGTGGGTACTTTACGCTCCAAGTTCTAAAATTAAATAAAAATTAATCATATAGAAGTGGACAAGTTTACAAATATGATACTGTAATAAAAAGGCATGTCGTGCTAAGTTAACTGCCGCGTATAAACAAATAGAATTAACACACACAACTTACAATTTCAGCAAAAAAGTAATGAATTATGTACTATACCTATTTTCGCAGTGAAAACGCAGATGACTGGAAAATGGACAAGGTGGATACCTCAAATGTTAGCCGGGTTAGAAGACGATTCTCGGACGTATATTTAACGCAGAATGCTCAAAATGCTAAAATTAAATCACAATTAATTACAATAATGTAGCTTTGTTAGCTGTTAACTGCCAAAGGAACCACGATCCATGTTTCATAATTGGGGATCGTTCTTACCTGTGTTGGAGAAACACATGGACGAAATTTCATCTTTCCTAAAATGACGAAAGTCTGGCCGTCACGGGCTCTTAGTCTATTATATCTATACTTCGTGGGAGGTGTAATGAGATTGATAATTCTTCGCCGAATACGTAAATTTGTATGTCAATTGAATTACAGTTAATATTACAGCAAATACGCAAATTGCATTGCAATGGGGTAAATGGTTCTCGAGATATTGAGCAATTTTCACGACCAGTTTTCGAAAATGTTAAAAATGGCCAACTTTTAGGGGCGGTTTTAACGCACTTCCCGTGTGATTTCAGAAGGCTGCATGGGTTCATTTTAAAGATCCACTATCGTGCTATTTAGATTTGCGAATTGCATTGCAATGGTTTAAACGGTTCTCAAGATATTGAGCAATTTCAACGATAAGTTTTCAAATATGCTAAAAATATCCAACTTTTAAGGGCGGTTTTAGGGCACTTCCCGTGTGACATGGGGCTGTGGGGGTCCCATTTTACGAGTAAAGATCCATTATGCCAATTGCATTGCAATGGCTTATACGGTTCTCGAGATATTGAACAATTTCCACGGCAATGTTAAAAATGACCAACTTTTAAGGACGGTTATAGAGCACTTCCGGTGTGATTTCAGGGGTCTGCAGTGGTCAATTTTTTAAAATCCATTTCGCGCTATTTAAATAAGTAAATTGCAATGCAATGGCGTAAACGGTTCTCGAAATATTAAACAATTTCCACGGCAAGTTTTCGAAAATGTTAAAAATGACCAACTTTTGGGAGTGGTTTTCAAGCACTTCCCGTGTGATTTCCGGGGCGGCAGAGGTTTATTTTCAAGATTCATTAGCGGCAATAGAGCATCGTCAAAATCAACTCTCCCGGTATAAAATTAATTAAACAACATTCAAATATTGCAAACGGTTCCCGGGAAAACACTGAATTTCCACAGAGTCTTTGACAAATTCCTAAAAAACACGAAATTTTGAAGCCGATTTTAAGACAGTTTGCGCGTGATTTTGGGGACGGCAATAGGCCATCTGCCAGATCCACTCATGCGCTAGAAAATTATCAAAACAACACTCAAATATTGCAAACGGTTCCCGAGAAAACACCGGATTTTCACTGAAAGTTGCCTTGAGTGATAATAGTAGAAAGGAAACGAGAACACATGAAAGTGCTACGCGACAACACTGCGCTTGTTGAAATCAATAACAAATCGACATCCTGTATGAAACAACACAATAAATGACTTATACCCACACAGAAATAGTCAATTAACACTAAATTACTTCGGCCGGAGATGAAATATAACGCAATATATCGAATTAAAATCGAAGAAACATGGCGGGTCAAATAATATGCACCTACCTGTGATAAAACAGAAATAGTCTCCTCGCTGAGTGGCATAGATGACACAGACACCACACTGCAATGTTTTGCGAACGTATGTCACCTGCTAAATACAGTAACAAACCAACTTCAATATTGAAACAGCACAATTACGAAGTGACTTTTATCCTTACCCAAAAATATCACACGCTAAACGCCACTAAAATCCGTCGATTGGTAATTGAATAAAACGCGATTTACCGAATTAAAACCAACAAAACATGGAGAGCCGAGAGATCTGCACATGCACCTACCCACGATAAAACTGAAGTGCGTCTTGCGCGTAGATTAGGATTAGCGTCATCAGCGCGGGTAGACCCGATTTCAGCGACGGCGCAACTAACTGTAAGGTGTTAAGTAAATAGATGAGTTGTTCCAAGGTCATGCATTTGCAGAAATACGATGCATACGATGATATGCCACCGTGAATACACAAAAATATTCGTACTTTCAAGATTTATAAAGTACTCTGCGCAATCGAAAACGAAATGTCCTGGCCTACAAAATATTGTCCTGCACTATAAGTTGCCTATACAAAACACTCACGAAAGAAAAAGATTTGCATTATATCCTATATATAACAGGAATATAATATATATCAATGCAAATATTTAAAAAATCAAGTATTATGGACAAATGATTCATTTATTGTAGTAATATTTCCATGAAATTATGAATACAAGCACAGAAAACGTGTTACTTTTGCCGTTCGCGTAATATTCTTGCCTCAGCAAAATGAAAAATAATTTTTCGGCGTTTTATTAAAAAAATTACAAAAAAAAAGAAGAAATATTATACAAAGAAAATGAGAAAAACATCCAAAATCCCAGCTATTAATCATAATTACACTGCGCGTACTCTCGCTACACCAATGTTGAAACAAGTTACAGTAAAATGGGAATCAGAATAAATAAAAAACAAATAGTCAATTACTACATTTATGTTTTTAGTTATGCAGAGTGATAAGATATAATATGAACGGCGATTAATGCAGTCTAACATAGTTTCGAAATAAACTAAGAAAAATAAAAACAATAAATTCGGTTCCACGCTTCCTGTTTGTCTGCAACCGTTCCACATCTCGTTCTTCGTACACATGTAAAATGAAACATGAAACAAGTAAAACGTTTCGTACAATGTTATCAATATGTTCGGGGGGGGTCGTAAGTATATTCGAGAAGTAAATTAATACAGTCGACGGGCGTTCGCAAGCGCACTACTCGCATCAAAACGTCTAACATTTTCACTAGGCATTAGTTTATATATTTTAAAATGTTTATCAACGACTCTCATTAAATTCTAATTAATAGTATAATAATAATTGATATAATACTGCATATATTTTTGTCAATAATTGCGAAGTGCGCGCGCCCAGAACGCCCGTCGGCCAGGCGAAAACAATCAAACTATAAACAATTCCGTACATAAGGGGTTAATTTAAATTACAATTACAATCACAGTAAGATGTACTTTTACAAAAAAAATAATAGATTTTTGACATTTAGAAATAAAACTTTGTTGTGTGAGCAAAAAAAATATGAAAAAAAAATTAGTTTTATGTTTGGTTTGCTTAAGTTCTGTGTACGCACGTTATTTGCTGTTTTTGCATTCACTCACGCTTAGCTTAATAGGTTTATGCTTACTGTTTACGCTTAACTTAACTAACCTGCCTTAAAATACGCAATTAATGCAGCAATCGCACAATCGTCGCTCGGACAATATTAAAAACCCCTTATCGCTTAGATTTACAAACGTCGAAACGATTGCCGCCCGACTCTGCACGCTGCAACAAACGAAATTCGCCAAAAACACACACACACACAACTTTCATGCGTTTACCAAGTGTTCGAATTAGTGCTAGGTTTATAATTTATGTATTTTATCGTTATAATCTATCAGTCCTTTTTGTTGTCAAATGTCAATTCATTTCAAATCTAGCAGTTTCGAGTCGAAAGTAATGCAACTTAACGATTAAAAATTAGTTCAAAACAAACTTTGCTTGATTTCAATGGTTGGCGCATCGCATCCCCATTCGATTTACAATTTTACAGCGTTAGCGATTGAGGATGCGACGCTTGTTCGAGATGGTGAAATATTTACTGCATGTACACATCGGAAACTACTTGCAGATAATATTTGAACCTGTGGGTTTGTCTCTTCATTTTTTTGCTTAAATCGAATCCGATTTTGAAAATGCATTTGCTTCATTTTATTTGCTTTGAAACATGATTTGCTTTGTTTTGCGTTTAATGAGGAACTTTAATTTCATCTTTCACTTCTAACTGTATATTACTTATCGTACGTTGCAATTAATCTTAACGTTTTAATTTTTAGTTCTCAAATATTATAGTATATTGTGAATAATTGTATATAGAGTGTGTAAGGTATTTCTCGCTGTCCACCAACGTAATAAATGTTCGTCTCTCCTGCCATTCGAAAACTTTTCTTCCATTCAATTAAATGCGGCCCGCGTTTCCTAACTTCAATTGCCTATATTCCTACCAACGATTTAAGTAAACCAATTTTCCTACAAAATCAAAGTCGCCCAAGATTCATGCCATTAAATTTAAATATCACACAAAATTCTTCAATTTTTAGTAGTCTCGAAATGCGAAAATCAAATCAACACGTAACCGTCAAAGATAAATTTCCATCCTAAGCTTGCTCTCCCAATGCGAAATTAGTTACTTAAAATTTCGTTTAGTTATTTGCAATTAAGTTTCAGTCTGTTTTGCTTACTTTTCCAGTCCATCAATGCGTATTTTCAATCCGTATCGAATTACAATTTAAATGCGAACATTATTTTCACGCGCCTGCCGCTCGTATTCATATTGGTATGTACAATTTCATTTATCAACATCATCTGCATTAAGTATAAAAACGTCGAGTGCAAATTTGTGCTATATCCAAACAAATGTAACTTTGTTCTAGCATCCTAACAAAATGCATGATGTAAGATTGTACGAAACATTCCAAATCTTTCATGTATGCTCTTCTGCAGTTCAAAATACAAGAAAATACATTTCCACTTCAAACCACACACGCAGAGAAAAACGCAGACCAAATGCCCAAACGTTTACAAATATTCATTACCGATTGAGAATTTGGTGGTGCCGGCGTGTGTGATTGGAAGCGTTCAAATGTGAACTTTTATAAACGTAACTATGCAGCTAATAGATACAATATGTATAAATATATTCATTCAATTTCGCTAAGAGGACTCGCCCTCGATCGTTATGCTTCGTACTTTCATCAACTAGCATCATATCAATAAATAATCGAGTCCCGTATGCATCGTACGCATAAGTAACGAAAACAATAAAAATATATGTATTTTACAAACGTGACCATAATATCAAATATATCGATCAAATACGTATACCAATTTCACATTATCGTTCAACTCCTCTCTCCTTGCCTTGTTTCTTGTTCTCGTTTTGCGTTGTTTGTAAAATATTTACAAGTGTTTTCGTGAGATTTTCCAGTTTTGTTCCTATACTTGCTTAAATATGTGTGCCAGATGAATGAACCGAACTTTCGGGCTTTAATTTTTACTCTCCTTTTTCCCATTTTCCGCATACATGCATCATATTCACACGCGCGCTACGAATGTTCACCAATTATATCAATAGTTTCAGTTAGCCTACTAGTTGTATGACATAATAGTTATCAGTAATAGTAAATAAATCTATCAAATATGTACAATAATAACTAATAATTAAAAAAAGGAACAAAAACGTTGCGCTATCGATGGGAAAATCGCGTCGGTCGCCCCGAAGATCGAACCAGCCGATTTGTGTTTTACATGCTCATCGTCGTCGGGTGTTGTGTGTGAATGAATTAGAAAAATTCTTACTTCTTACAATAATAATGATAATAATAATAAACACTTCTCATGAATAATAATAATAATAATAATATTAGAATAATACGACAACGATACTTCCACTTCTCTTTCTCATCAATATAAATATGTTTTTGGCGTTTCCAATAATTTTCTTCTAGTCTTTTATCTTTTTGTGTATTTTGCGAAGCTAATGTAAATCTAAAGAAAACGTTCATCTTTGCACATTCTATTTAGAAATTGTGTGTTACTGTGTTGATTTTGCCTAAATAGTTGAGATGTTTCGTTTGAAGATCTAATTTTACTTGCTTTAATCTTCGAAACCTTCATATATGCAAAGACGATTTCAGTGTGCTCAGAAGAAAGATTAAAAGAAACTTTCGGGTTTTTAAGTAACGTAACGTAACAAAAAGAAATAATAATAATAATTAATGTAAACAGCAAAAAGGTGCCGTCCGCATGCGATATTTGAATAGGTTGTTTTGTTTTTTACTTCCTTGCTTATCGTTTAACCTCTTGATATTTTCATCGCTATTGCTTTCGTTTGCTTGTAACGTCTCCTCAACTAGAGAAACTAATTAAAATGAAATATTGGAATTTGTCTACAATGCATCGCATAACGCAATGAACACACTATTATTTTGACGCTAACAATAAAGTTCGTATGCTTTCGAAGAGTATATGTTGATGGAGGTCCAGGTCTGATGCAAAGTAAATCTGTGTGCTTAATTATGTCGCTCGTATAAAAAAGAAGCTCCGCTCGACAATCACGAGAGCGCCAGTTGCTTGCCGACGATGACGCCGGGCCGCGACTGCTGCTGGTGTTGTATGCTTGCCGGCGTGTGATGGAACTCGACGAAGGTCTGCGGCGTTGTTTCGACTTTAACCGCCTCGCCAACCGCCCGTGTCGTAATCAACGCGAGCGGCACCTCCTGCGCTTGCGGCTCATCGCCGAACATATGATCGCCCTCCAAGTGTCGGATGGCTTCGACAATGGTCTCGAGATTCTGGCGCGATGTGTTCGAGACAAACATGCGCGTCTGACCATCGGAGTCGGTACATTCGCGGTTTGGCGATGGTAGTCGCTCAACCTCCACCTTGGGTTCGGCTTTTATCGCTGCCTCCAGCACGCTGGGCAGACGCTGCTCATCAGGTGAGGGCGGCGTCGGACTCGAACTACGAGAGTTGATCGGTGAGCAAACCACCGTTTGGGTGTGGCCAACTGGTGGCACACTCTCGGGACCGACAATCTGCAGGCTGATGTCATCCTGTTCCTCCACGTGGAAGATCTGCGTCTGGTAGAGCTGTGACTCCAGCTGGTGTTGAGCTTCTTCGGCGGCTAGCCGCAGTTGACGCTCTTGTTCGAGGGCGAGTTGAAGTTCGGCGATCTTATCAGCGCTAGTGACTGCACTACCGCTCATCTCCGGTGACATGGAGCCGAGGCCTTCATCCGAAGATTCGGATATGGCCGAGATGATAACAGCTTCGGTCTTGCGCTTCTTCGGTGGCAGTTCGCCGCCTTCATGTTGATGCACGAGTCGTTTCAGGTGGCAGTTCTGCGATAACAGCACAGTTTTCTCTTGTTCCAGGGCGTAGATATATTCAGCTGTTTGTTGAAGAATTGCAGCCTGGAAAGAAACAGAAAAGACTGCATCAGATAACAATACAAAACAAAAATCACAGGAAAATAAACTTTCAAATAGATTTTGAACAGATGCTTGAAGTGCTGTAAAGTTAGTTGCATACATTGTATGCCCGCATTGAGTTTGAAAGATCTTTTCAAAGAAAATGTCCATTCAGAGATTTATTGCGCGTTTGCAAAGTTGTCATTGTTCGATTTCTCGGACCAAGCAGCATTTCCAGGTACCAAGTTGTAGTAAAAGCTGTCATAAAGCGATAAATCAGCAAATTATACAGAACTATCAGCCAACACTTTAAACTTGTTACCGAGATAAAAATCTGCATACGAATATATAATATTTTTAATTGTTACGAATACAAATGAAAACTGAGAAGAAAGCAGAGTAAGAAGAAAGTTCTTTGTTTCCCCGACAATGCACTGCGGCGTTGCAGGAAAAGCGCGCGCGATGTAAGGAACAAACAAAGAACGCGGTTGCCGGCCGGCGCAATGAGATAATTTCGTGACGGGAGAGTTGCGCCGCGACGAAGAAGAACAAAACGAACGAGAGAAAAAAAACTGGTAAGGTGAGTCTGTTCTATAAATAGCAACATGGCGAGTGGCCGGCACGGCGGCACATCCTGTGCGGCGCGATGCAACACAATACGTGTGCACGCGAGACGCGAGCAACGAGAGGAAGCGCCGACGGCCAAGAAGCGCGCGGGGCGAAGTATGAGGAGGCAAAGGCATGCCGCGCGCGCTCGTATGCTAAGTAAGCTCTCTGTGCGCGCGGCGTTTCGAGTTACCGAACGTAAAGTTCGTTCGCCAACGGAGAAAACGCGCGGCAAAGGCTTTTATAAAATACGCCGGCCGGCCTGCCGCAGGAACCACGCTGCTGTCCTGCACGGTGGCGCCGCGCTGCCTGCTGCGATCGCGTCGGAATGCAGAACTATCAAAAGTGCGCAACGTAAGTCACACATACAACGCGAAACTAAAATATAAGCCATAAATAGTAAAAAGCGTATAATATATTAAAGTAAATAAAAATAATTTATATAACCTATTAAAAATGTAATTTATGGTGGATTAATACGAATTGAAGAAACCGCCGTGTAATTTTGCGCGCTTTTGCTGTGAAATTGATCGCAAAAACATGAATCGCAGCGAAACAGCTGACGCCTCGCAAGCCGACGACGCACAGCGTTGGCGCGCGCGCAGGAACAGCCGGTCGGAGAAGCACCGCGTGCGCGGAGGCAGGGCGGGCGGGCGTTAGCAGGCGGGCAACGCCGGCGATAGTGAGCCGTTCGCGCGCGCCGGCCGGCCCGACCAGGTGGCGCCGGCACGATGTCCAAGGTTAGCAGCAGGCTGCTGCTGCGCTGCCGAACGCATTTCGACTGCTACCCGCCACACAAAACGCTTCAATTCTCATAATAATCAATCACGAAATGTTTTACCATTGTTTTTAAACGCATCAACGTCAATAATTCTAGTACTACAACATTTACAAAATGGCGTCGGTGCAAAAATCAGCTGAGTCAAAACAACACAGCTGCTATCAATTTAATAACTTGGAAATAGTACTTTTAATTTATTTCATAATTTGTTAATTGAGTTTTAGTTGGATTGCTTTTCTCGTTGAAGAAAAATTAATAAAGCGCAGTTTCGTGAACGCAGCAGCACCGCCCTAGTACACTAGCCTGCAAGTATTGATTTTCTCGACCTCGGCTCGCGCGCACCCCCGCCCCCACCAACGCTACTACGTAGTACACTACAGCGTACCGGCGCAGAAAGGGCAGCAAAGGGATATAAGGGGCGGCCGGGGCATTGTTGCAAGAAGCGGGCCAGCGCGACGCGCGCGTACGTACAACGCCGTATGTTACGTCACGCGACGTCGACGAATCAGCTGCTGGGCGTGGCGGCGACCCCTAGTCGCACGCATCACCGCTCAGAGGGCGCTACAATTAAATCACAACTCAAGAAAGAAAAACCACACAACTTTCATTACATCAAGAGATGACAACAACGGATTAAATCAGATGGCAATTGTTTCAACATGACTCACGCGGCTGTGGCGCGTCACGCCGTATGCACATAACCTCCACACTGCACGCCGATACATTATTATTATTACATGTTTTCCAGTTCTAGCAAAGCTCGTAATGATCGTAATGAATAACGATTCTATTATTACTTGGCGCCACTCGACTGGCACAGGCGCGACCGCAAAACGGAACCGAATCGGAATCAAAGCCAACCGCGAAACGCGTGACACCCACACACACACATATGTCGAATGGCATGCACGCGATTTCGAAGAAAATGCACGTTCGACTAAATATAAATAACAAACAAACACGGCGGACGCCATTGTTTAAAATAAAACTTACTCCAAACAATTTCATTCAAACAAAGTTGGTGAGTTTATAAACGTCCGTAGCCATGTTTAGCTGAAATAATTCATTCATTTGAATTTGTGATGCGATATCAGGTTAGTTATCGCACGATTTTCGTAGAGTCACGACAAGTCGCGACCTCGCATCTCGCCGAGTGTGATAATTTGTAGTCAAGCGGTTGCGCGCGCGCGCGTACACAGTGAAATAATATATTAAGTAACTGAAAATGTCGGCGCGTTTTATTTATTCGCTGCGAGCGCGTCGCGCCGCGGAGATAAGAAAACAGCTGTTGTACTGTCCCACAAATCGGGTGTAAATTTAGTTCGGTTTAGTCACTCTGCGTGCGCTCGTTTCGAGTGGCTAATTTTAGATTAGGCTTAAAATAAACAACCTAAAAGGGGTGCGTGATGTGTTTTTTGCTTCCTTCTTAGCGCATCATCTCTTCCTGGTTGCGCTTAATTTTGTATTTTGTTTTGTTTTCGGCTCGGTTACTGTTTTGTTGCTCAATCGGTTTGCTTCCTTTGAGTTCTTTTCAAAAGAGCCTTTCATTTCCGTTTGTTTTGATCGCGTATTTTGTTTGATTTTATTTTCGACTCGAGAAAATCTGCTTTTAACCGGATAAACCGTTTCCTTCCGTTTACAGCTCAAAACACATCAACGTCAACGAGCATTCATAAAATAAAATGTTTTTGCATTTTATTTATTTAGATGTTTTTGTATTGAGAATAAATAAATAGAAATTTTTTTGAATTTAATTTTAAGTTTCGTGGCGTGCAATAGTGCAAAATGAGTATTTGTGGAATGCAGTCGGTATTATACGCAGCTAGAAAACCGGCTGGAATGCCGAAGTCGACGGGGTCGACAAGCCGTCAAGAAAAGCGGAAAAATCCGCCACATGTGCATTCCGCGCACACCTGTGAACCGGGGCCGCGTCTTAAATCAAGAATCAGCAAGAGTCGCATGTCTTTGGCACCGTTAACGCGAGGAATTTGCTGTGCTCGAGGTGTTGACGATGCAATACGCACACTTACCGCAAATCACAACAATAAAAAGATTTCTATTTATACAGCAACTATCAATTAATTAATACTTAAATAAAATTTAAAAAAAATAGCCTGTGGATCTGAATATAGTCCCCAAAAATTAATTTAAAAAACCCGTAATTTTAGGCAGAAACTAAAAAAAACAATTTTCCTTTAAATTTTAACTTGAACAATAAATAAAAAATAAATTTCGTTCACATGCTTAATTAAATAATTATGAATTCAAAACTTTACGCTCAATAAACGTATTCTTCACCTTTAAAAATATTCCAAACGCATTCCGAAAAGTCCAAATCAAGTTTTAGCCATAAAAACGTGTAAATTTCAATATGCAAATGTGCCCAAAGACCTTGTAAAGAAAAATTTACACCATACTAGGCATAACACGCGCACACACATACTACACACATCAGCAGGTACCTAGAAGGCAGTCGTCAGCAGAAATAGCAAAAGTTAACTATTTCTATTCGCGACTCCGTAGGTCAATAGCATGCCGGCGTCGAATCAAGGTCATTCGAATAAATCAAAACGTCGCAGTTTGCGTTCGCGAGTTCGCTCGCCTGCGTTACCAACGTGCGCACGCGCGCGTCAATCTAAACTTAACTAAAAGTTAAATACGAAACCTCCTACAAACACACGGCACAAACACACAGTGTGTACAATACTTCTTAAAACTCATACGTTTTCAACTAATAACGCTCGTGGAGTACGAGTAATTACGCTACGCACGCAAATTCCAAACAAACCACAACAACAACAACAAACAAAAAACTTTACAACGAAAAAAATAATCCAAATCAAAACAACCGCCGGCTTAATAAACAAATAAAAAACACATCGTTTATTAAATAAAACGGGATGAAAATGAGGTCACTTTTTTTATTTCATAGGTTGTTGTTATTGTTATTGTGATGTTTCGGAAATAATTACATGTATGTAAATCGCAACAAATTGTTATGAAAACGCAAGTTTCTGCTATGACTCGAGAAAACCACGAGAATTGCAAATATGCGCACGAATGCAACTGCAAATCTGCGAACGCAATCGCAGCGTGAGTGACGTGTGGTGCGGTGGCGCAAGTTATCTGCGCGCGACGGCTCTCAGCCATGTGCATTCATTATATAACGTACTTTACTTCACAAACTAAAACAAAGAACCTCGTCGTATCTGTATGGAGTTGTTTATTTGTATGTGCACAGCCCGCATCATGACAGTGTGTGCGAAAACTTCGGACGTGGGAACTTTAAATTTTTAAATCGTCTGCGGTGCGGTCATAAATTCCTCGCCGGCTGCATATGTGAGTACACGAGCATAAATTAAAACACGCATCGTGTGGGCTTTTGAAAGCCCACAGCTGATACAGCGCCATCTGTGCATTCAAACAAAGACAAATCAACAAAGCACTAAATTATTTCAAGTGTACTATTCTTAAAAATTGATAAAAATAATAAAATTTTATGTTTTTCAAGTAAATTTTATAAAATTTTAGTGTTGTTAAAGATTTTATAAGATTTTCCTGCAAACAGCTGGTGAAGTGGAATGTCGAGTGAGGTTGGAATGCAGCGGAATGCAGTCCAGTCAGTCGTCCAGTCCCACCGACATTCCTTCATTCTCACTCGAGAACTCAACTCGACTCGACCCAAGAAAACACACATACAAGAAACATAGAAAGTCCAACGTATGTGGACTTTGCTCTGTGCGCAGATGATGATGCCCGCTGGCGTTTTCGCGTGCTCGCGCAAAACATCAATCGAAATCGTTTCGTTCGTTCGTTCGTCTTTTCAATTCTCACATTCCACCATTCCACCAACCAACACACCATTACAACTTGTAGTACTCGTAGCTGTGGAGTAGTATATAGTACTACAACCACTAAAAGAAGCCTAAGAAGACGAAGAGGAAAAAATCGTTTTCCATTAAAAACCCGGCGACCAAACCGCTTGTAATTATCGTACAAGCGTGAACTTGAAGCAAATGAGTAGCGAAGGAGAAAAACGCGACGAAAAAAAATTCGCGCGGCAACTCTTCTTGGCGTTAAATAACCGCGCAAACTACTACGCAATTTTTCATTCATTCACACTTTTTTTAAACTTTACTCTCCACACATAATCATCATATAAACAAAAAATAAAAAAATAACTTTTTTTCAAATAAATCAGCTGTTTTCCAGACTGAGACTGATGGCGCCATAATTATTGAGTAAATCATAACAAAGCTTATCTATTGCATAAATTCAACGGAAATTATATCGTCAAAACATCAAACAGCCGACGACTGATAACGCGGTGGAAACTAATTTTAGCTTAGACAAATATTATGGATATAAATACCTCAACGAAATAAAACTTACGCGCAAATATTTAAAAGATTAAAGAGGCATGTTATATAATTGAATATAGTCACATATTACATATTATAAAAACGCGCAGCAGATGTTGCCTCTTCATACTCTCTTCATTGTCCATTTAATATTCATTCCTGCTACCTGCCGGTTTCGGCTTTTAACGGCCAAGGTCACATTCAATCCACATCCACAGCCAACCTATCTAAACCTGCTGCAGGTTGAAATAAAAAGCACGAGACACAAATGACGCAGCAGATGGTTGAAAATCCTGCTACGTAATAAAATCCAAATTATATATCTAAAGATACAACTGAAATTATTAAAGCATCTAGCATGAGTCAGTTGCTGGTTGTTGCGTAAGATAAATTCCTGCGAGTAGTAAAATGGTAACGCGCAGTTTCATGATTCGTCTCAATAAGCCAGGCTGCTGCGGGCCTAGCCTACCCCGCCTCTCAATTTGTACCGGCTGCGCAAATCCGTGAATCGCGAATACGCGAATCGACCCGCAATCACAACTGCGTAGTAGGTTGACCACCGTCGTCGCGCTGATGCTGGAAGCAATGGACGAGTGAACGTGATTTCAGCGACTTCTTGCATTGCATGCCATTCCAGACCAGTCATACACATACTGCATTCCTGCCACGAGGAGTATTTTGTGGTGTGAGTAATTTTCCCGCCGAAATAAAAATAAGTATTTTTTTAAAATTTTAATATAGATGGTTTTATTGAAACTTTTTAATTGAGAATATATTTCTGCTTTGAAGAAGGTGTCAAGCGGCTGTACTGATGCACTAATTACACTAGTGCGCAGTGCGCCACGAGAGTACTCGCAGCATCGTAATCCGAGTACGTGTATCGTGAGTATTCTACGAATATAGGCTTTACCTGCGCGCGCGCGCGCGCACGCCTACACACACCTACCTACGATACTACCATCCACTTATGTGCATATGTTATGCACAATTTGTACGATACGAGCACGTTACGTTGCAAAATATGACTGAATGCGCACGACTTACAATTTACATCTCGCGAAATATTTACACGTCTAACTAGACTTTCTCTTTATAAATAATAAATAGTTTTCCAAAAAAAAAAAAGACATTAGTTTTTTTTAATCACATACTGAATCATGTGAAAATTGAAAAAACAAAAATCCATGTATACGAAGGTCAAACCCATCGTAAAACCCCGATGAGCAATAAAAATGCTGGCGCTGGCGCGTCGCCTATTGTTTTCTTCCTTTTCAATTTTCACTCGTGCTGCTCCCGTGTACTTTTCGTATTTCAAATAGCACGCGTTCCGGACGCGTTCAAATTGTCCCATTAAAAGCGCGTCGGTTTACAATCCATCGTCATCGTTACACGCGTCGAACGCGATGTGTCGGCCAATAAAACGACATCGTAATCGTAAAAATCGTAAAACGAGCTTTCGCGCGGGAAATAACATAAAAAACCCCACCGGCAAAACGAAAAATTCACACAGAACACAACAGGCGGGATGAACAAATTTAAATTATTTTTTATTATTTCATACGTTCATGAACGCGCGAAAAAAAAAAGTTGATTATCGTTTTGGTGCGATTCGAGTGAGAATTTCAAGCGTGTGAGAGGAAAGAAAATCGTGCGCGACTTGTGAGAGAAAAGCGTTTTATCGATTTTTCGCGTGTGGGCGAACACACGAGTCGGCGCGAATATATAGCGTTTTTATTATTTCATCGCGCGCGCGTAACGTGCACGTAAACTACGCATCGGAAACCGTATTATTCAATGGCAGGCTAAACACACCAATACTCACAAAGCCAGTGGGTCGAAGAGTTAAAACAAAAAACGTGAAAATACATCGCAGGGAGAGTCGAAACACTGTGCGCGGCAGCGGCATGGAACCCACGTGGCGCCTCCACCAAATTGAATAAAAATGAAAAATTTCCCGCCAAAAAAATACAATTAACCGAGTTCAAAGCTCGTGTGTGCATTAGTGGAAATGTGGGCAATCAAGGGAATTTATACGCTTGAAAGCTGACCGAATGCACTTTGACCTTTTCCTGTCGGCGCGCCGCCTCCACAATACCCACCCACGCACACTTCCTGCCATCCTGCCGCGCAATACGCAATTGTTTCTTTCATTCCATTATTTCCATCCATCACAACATCAGCAGGAGAATATAAACATGTTTGTGTGACCTTGAAACCCTTAGCAAAGTGTGACTCCACACACAATGACACCAGATCAACGAGAGCGGAAATTTGGGGCTCCAAATTCATCCCTTTCATGATCATCCTTATTGCGGGTTCGCTGCTCGAGTTATGATAGGACCGACAACACATGCGTGGTGAAATAGTCGGAATGCCCTTGGAGTTGAAGTGGATGATGCTCCTTTTGAGCAGAAGCACATTCTAGAAGAGACACACACACACACACATCCCACCTAAGAAAACTTCTCACACCTACACACAACTCTATCGATCCTTTAGTTCTCTCCTGATGCGGGGGAGAAATGTTCCGCTGCTCAAGCTCTAGGAGAGTCTAAAACATTCCGCAGGAAGAAGAACAGACTCGCAACGATGCCAAAAGGTCACAGGTTCATGCACATCTTCACAAATAAAACGAAAGGAATAAAAACACCCTCGAAATGAAACTAAACTCAACGCAATTTCAGTTTTCAGGCGAAATTTTACTCTATGATATGAAAAAATGTTAGAAAATGTCAAAAATTAAAATGACTA